CTCAGCTTCAGCTGTTGTCATGGGAGTAGTTATGAGGATGTTCAACAGAGTCACAGTCTCAGAGAACGTCTCCTGGAGGTTGTAGCTCATGAAAACCTGGTACAGTGCCAGTGCACCACAGTTTGACTTTCTCGTCGTCGGCAAAAAGACCGTTCAGTCTCTCCAAAAGCACACTGGCGATTGAGACTGAGGTTGATTCCGAGATGGGAAGGAACTCAAAAAAGCGCTCCTGCACTTTGTGGTTGCTATCTATGTACCTCAGCACAAGCACCAGCTGTGTCTGTGTAGAAACGTCCGTGGTCTCGTCAGCTTGGATAGCTACGAAGTTCGCCGACTTCACCTCCTCCACAATATGTTCCCTCATGACCGCTAGCATACACTCCAGTAGCTCGTTTTGAATGGTCTTTGATGTGAACTTCTTTCAAAGAGACAATCGAGTTGCACTGAACGCTAGCCATCTTGATAGTAGTACGTGAATTGATTGACGCTGCTACCCGCTCTTTTCTTAGTTACGTTCATGGTTATGTTACGTATGACGAAAGCGCGTAAGTGCAAGCCCTCAGAAACCCATAGAGATTGTATTGAAAGCTCTGATATTTCAAAAAAAAAGATTTTACATGAGAGGCTATGAGACACTTCTGGGCGATTTTCAACCTGACTGAAATCGCCCCAAAAGGGGCGGGGACATTTGAAGCACGACTTTAGCCTGATTGGACATTTAGTGGCAGATCAGACGTCTAGATTAGAACACTGATAACTACTGTTGCCGTGATATAATTGATTAGAAAAAAAATCCCTTCCTTTTCCCGTTTGGCAGTGCGTCGCCCATATCGCCCTAATGAACACACCGCCCCTGCTCCAGTGTTAATACTAAATTGTAATTATGTTGCACTATGGCCTATTTATTACCTCCATAACTTACTACAAATCAATAGATGTTCTATTGTGTTATTTGTTTATTTCATATGTAACTCTGTGTTGTTGTTGTTTTTATCGCACTGTTTTGCTTTATCTTGGCCAGGTCGCAGTTGTAAATCAGAACTTGTTCTCAACTGGCTTACCTGGTTAAATAAAGGTGAAATAAAAAAATAAAAATAATGACAATGTGAAAAACAGGTTTTTAGACATTTTTGAACATTTATAAAGTATTTACATAAGTATTTAGACCCTTTGCTATGAGACTCAAAATTGTGCATCCTGTTTCCATTGATCATCCTTGAGATGTTTCTACAACTTGATTGGAGTGCACCTGTGGTAAATTCAATTGATTGGACATGATTTGGAAAGGCACACACCTGTCTATATAAGGTCCCACAGTTGACAGTGCATGTCAGAGCAAAAACCAAGGCATGAGGTCGAAGGAATTGTCCATAGAGCTCCGAGACAGGATTGTGTCGAGGCACAGATCTGGGGAAGGGTACCAAAAAAATTCTGCAGAATTTAAGGCCCCCAAGAACACAGTGGCCTCCATCATTCTTAAATGGAAGAAGTTTGGAACCACCAAGACTCTTCCTAGAGCTGGCCGCCCGGCCAAACTGAGCAATTGGGGGAGAAGGGCCTTGGTCAGGGAGGTGACCAGGAACCCGATGGTCACTCTGACAGAGTTCCAGAGTTCCTCTGTGGAGATGGGAGAACTTTCCAGAAGGACCACCATCTCTGCAGCACTCCACCAATCAGGCCTTTATGGTAGAGTGGCAAGATGGAAGCCACTCCTCAGTAAAAGGCACATGACAGCCCGCTTGGAGTTTGCAAAAAGGCACCTAAAGGACTCTCAGACCATGAGAAACAAGATTCTCTGCTCTGATGAAACCAAGATTGAACACTTTGGCCTGAATGCCAAGCGTCACGTCTGGAGAAAACCTGGCACCATCCCTACGGTGAAGCATGGGGGTGGCAGCATCATGCTGTGGGGATGTTTTTCAGTGGCAGGGACTGGGAGACTAGTCAGGATCGAGGGAAAGATGAACAGAGCAAAGTACAGAGAGGTCCTTGATGAAAACCTGCTCCAGAGCGCTCAGGACCTCAGACAGGGGCGAAAGTTCACCTTCCAAAAGGACAACAACCCTAAGTACACAGCCAAGACAACGCAGGAGTGGCTTCGGGACAAGTCTCTGAATGTCCTTGAGTGACTTTCTATGCCCACTGTATATGTAATTTTTCAGTTTATTTTTAATACATTTAAAAAAAACTGTTTTTGCTTTCTACTGTGTGTAGATTGATGAGGGGAAAAAACTATTTAATACATTTTAGAATAAGGCTGTAATGTAACAATGTGGAAAAAGTCAAAGGGTCTGAATACTTTCCGAATGCACTGTAGGCTACAGTAGAATTTAACAGGTAAAATAACAGTTGATCTTTTGCATTGAAGTGTGTAGGCTACCACTGTAAGTAGGCACACTGTAGTTAAAAAAAAAGATCAGAGTAGACAATGTTTCAGAATTTGCAGGCAGTGCAGCATATTTAGGTTCGGGAATAAGTACATGCGAAACATTATTTAATTCAAACTATCTGTATACAGGTCGACAACAATTTGCAACTGTTTTTGTCTTTCAGAAACGGTCAGATACAGCAAATGTCACTGCAAAAGAAAACATTCTGCAAACACCTCCAGACATTTGATCAAGTTCGCCATTGCTACCATACCCCGTTCAAAGGCACTTCAATATTTTGTCTTGCCCATTCACCCTCTGAATGGCACACATACACAATCTCAATTGTCTCAAGGCATAAAAATCATTCTTTAACTAGTCTCCTCCCCTTCACCCACACTGATTGAAGTGGATTTAACAAGTGACATCAATAAGGGATCATAGCTTTCACCTGAATTCACCTGGTCAGTCAATGTCATGGAAAGAGTTCTTAATGTTTTGTATACTCAGTGTATGTCACACCATATTTATGCCTCAATGTTTATACTGTATGTTACATAGCAGCATTTGGCAAACTCAGTGTCAACATGAACAGCATAATATTTCTGTGCAATGCCCTTTCTCAGCCTGATCCCAGATCTGTTTGTGCTGTCCTGCTAAGTCCTATGTTTGAGTTTGAGTTTATTTTTATTTTTACAGGGACAGTGCACATTAATCAACGTTCCTGTAATTTTCAACTGCAGTCCCTGGGCAGGTTATTAAAAACAATTACAATAACAATACAGACAAATAATGAGCAGTAAGCACATGCAGAGCAACATAGGACAAGCAACATTTAGCACGCAGACAGAGCAATAGCACAAAAAGCAACAAAACAAAATACATAAAAGCAACAAAGTGTTTCCACACCTCACAAGCTACAGACAACATGGAAAGCGACAATACACAGCTAGGGATTATGTTTGGCCTTTAGCCATGTCTTAATGTTTTTTGTGAAGGTGCGATAGGTGGTGCAGTTGTGTGTGTCTGATGGCAGTGTGTTCGAGACATGGGAAGCTCTCACAGAGAAAGCAGATTGACTGAAGGTGCTTTTCCTTAAGGGAACTATACAGTCACCTCTCATGGCAGACCTTGGGGATCTGCTGCCATGGGTTTGGGTTTTTTGTTTAACAAAAGTACTAAGTGGAGTGGGAGCCAGGCCATTTAGGATCTTGAATACAAGACATGCGTTGGTGTATTGCACAAGATTTTCCTAACTCAGGAGCTCATGCTTTCTGAGGATGTAACAGTGATGATGGCTATTGGGCTTTCTAACAAGCACTTTGAGAGCATGTTTGTAGACAGACTGAATGGGTTTTGATGTTGTACAGCAAGCTTGGGCCCAACTAGTCAAGCAGTATGTTAAGTGGGGGAGTATCATAGCAGTGAAGTACAGTTTTGCTACCTCTGTAGTCAAACAATTTCGTATGAATCGGAAATTAGCTAGGTTGAACTTGGTGATTTTAGTTACTTTTTTCACCTGCTTTTTAAAAGAGAGGTTGGAATCAAGTATGATGCCAAGGTACTTAAAATCAGATACCAATTGGAGCTTCTCCCCTGACACAAAGACATCTGGCTCAGTAGCATCAGTTGCCCTCTTTGTGAAGAACATGCAGACCGTTTTTTTCACATTGAGATGCAAACATGAGTCACTGAGCCACTTTGTAACCTGGACCATTTATAGTAGTGAGTTATTGTGCAGCTTGTTGTTTGCTCTTTGCATGCACATATATCACTGTATCATCTGCATACATTTGAACTTCAGACCCAGTACAGACAGATGTTAATTGTCATGCCATTGGCACAAACAGATACTATACTTTCTCTCGCCTACTTTCTTCACACCCCACACAGCAATTATTTTTTCAGTCAAGTCCTTTTTACAAGACAACTGTTATTTAGTCTGGGGTCACACCGGTCAGAAACTAAACTGGCTACCTATCTAGGAGTTGTCGCGTCTCGCTACATGCAGACTCTAATGCCTTATGACAGGTTGTTGTTTGCGTATCTGTTGTGCCAGCTGAATCATACTCTGTCATCACAAGCAGGCTGGTTCAGTATTATGGTCTGCCGAGCAGCAGGGTTGACGTAGAAACATGGCCTCTGACACAGCAGAACTGGTGAGAGAGAGAGATGATGTCATTCTCTCCACTCTATTGCCCTCCTCTCTTCTCTTCTGCTCTTTTCTTGATCACTTCTCTCCTGTCCTCTACTCCTTTTCTCCTCTCCTTATTTCCCTCCTCTCCCCTTCTCTTCTCTCCCCCTCCTCTCATCTCCCCCATCCCCTCCTCTCTCTTCTTTGCTTGCCCATCTAAACACGCCATCATTTTACCGTGGCTGGTCCTTAAGAAAGCCTGAAGAAGGCACAGTGTGCCGAAATGTTGGCTTACCCATTAAATCGTTGTGAACATAACTTTCTTTCTTTTCATACTGTGGCTGGGCCTCCCATCCAGAGGAGGGCACAGTTTGTGTCACTAGTGGTAGTTATGACACAAGACCTTTGGTGAACCTGGAGAGAAGTTACATCTATAAAGGAGCCTTGAGAAAAATCTCAGATAGTTCCCAGGAGGCAATGCCAATGCGGCAAAGCAGATGTCCCATCCCAGAAGGAACGTGTATGTGCCTGCAGAGACCTGGCATGAAGTGCTGCCTGACAGGCTGTCGGGCTGGGACACACAGCTGGGTGTGTGTGTGTGTGTGTTTGGCAGGGCAATATACAACAAAACATAAGTCTCAGAGTATGAGAAGTGATGCGTTGCACCAAATTTAGCTGACAGCTAATTTACATTGCCAATGTGTGTGCTTGTGCTTGTGTGTCTGCGTGTTTGCATGCATATGCGCGGGAGTGTGCATGAATATGAGCGTATGCGTGTGTTCCCCTCTCCACCCTGTCCCGAGGCTGAGCTAACTGCACGCTGCTGTGTTGCTGTTTGATGCTGATGTGAGCCGTCAGTGTACAGAGGCTGTCTCCTGCTCCCCCAAATGCCTGAACTGAACAACACAACAACAGGGAGAGGGACAGGGATTACCAGTGGCAGGGATAGGGAGTAGGACAGTGATTTAAGTTAGGTCTCCTAAAGTTCGGAACCAAGAGTTTGATATCAGACCATTTCTTACATGATTATGTTACGTTGATTTGTCTTGCCATCCAGGTCTCCACTTGGTCATTTTGTACATACATTGCTGTGAAAAAGTATTTGTCCCCTTTCAAATGTTCTTTACTTTTGCATATTTTTGATACTTAATGTTATCAGATCTTCAACCAAAACCTAATATTAGATAAAGGGAACCTGAGTGAACAAATAACACAATTACATACTTATTTCATTTATTTTACAAACAAAGTTATGCAACACCCCTTGCCCCTGTGTGAAAAAGTAATTGCCCCCTTACACTCAATAACTGGTTGTGCCACCTTTAGCTGCAATGACTCCAACCAAACGCTTCTGTAGTTGTTGATCAGTCTCTCACATCGCTGTGGAGAAATTCTGTCCCACTCTTCCATGTAGAACTGCTTTAACTCAGCGACATTTGTGGGTTTTCCATCATGAACTGCTCGTTTCAAGTCCTGCCACAACATCTCAGTTGGGATTAGGTCTGGACTTTGACTAGGCCATTCCAAAACTTCAAATGTGTTGCTTTTTAGCCTTTTTCATGTAGACTTGATTATGTGTTTTGGATCATTGTCTTGCTGCATGACCAAGCTGCGTTTCAGCTTCAGCTCACAGACAGATGGCCTGAAATTCTCCTGTAGAATTATCTGATACAGAGCAGAATTCATGGTTCCTATTAAGGCAAGTCATCCAGGTCCTGAGGCAGCAAAGCATCCCCAAACCATCACACCACCACCATCATGTTTGACCGTTGGTATAAGGTTTTTACTGTGAAATGCAGTGTTTGGTTTTCGCCAGGCATAATGGGAACCTTGTCGTCCATAAAGTTATATGTTTGACTCATATGTCCATAGCACATTCTTCCAAGAGTCTTGATGATCATCCAGGTGCTTCCAGGTGCTTTTTGGCAAACTTGAGTCAACCTTTTGGACGAGATGGGTCGCAATATGTCTGGTGAAAACCAAACACTGCATTCCACAGTAAGAACCTCATACCAATGGTCAAGAATGGTGGTGGTAGTGTGATGTTTGGGGATGCTTTGCTGCCTCAGGATCTGGACAACTTGCCTTAATAGAAGGACATTGCTGCGGGGACTTTTGGACGAGATGGCTTCCATTCAGCCACAAGAGAATTAGTGAGGTCGGGCACTGATGTTGGGCGATTAGGCCTGGCTCGCAGTCGGTGTTCCAATTCATCCCAAAGGTGTTCGATGGGGTTGAGGTCAGGGCTCTGTGCAGGCCAGTCAAGTTCTTCCACACTGATCTCGACAAACCATTTCTGTATGGACCTCGCTTTGTGCACAGGGGCATTGTCATTCTGAAACAGGAAAGGGCCTTCCCCAAACTGTTGCCACAAAGTTGGAAGCACAGAATCGTCTAGAATGTCATGGTATGCTGTAGCGTTAAGATTTCCCTTCACTGGAACTAAGGGGCCTAGCCCGAACCATGAAAAACAGCCCCAGACCATTATTCCTCCTCCACCAAACTTTACATTTGGCACTATGCATTGGGACAGGTAGCGTTCTCCTGGCATCCGCCAAACCCAGATTCGTCTGTCGGACTGCCAGATGGTGAAGTGTGATTCAACGCGTTTTCACTGTTCCAGAGTCCAATGGCGGCGAGCTTTACACCACTCCAGCCGACGCTTGGCATTGCGCATGGTGATCTTAGGCCTGTGTGCGGCAGCTCGGCTATGGAAACCCATTTCATGAAGCTCCCGACTAACAGTTCTTGTGCTGACGTTGCTTCCAGAGGCAATTTGGAACTCGGTAGTGAGTGTTGCAACCGAGGACAGACAATTTGTACGCACTACGCGCTTCAGCACTCGGTGGTCCCGTTCTGTGAGCTTGTGTGGCCTACCACTTCGCGGCTGAGCCGTTGTTGCTCCAAGACGTTTCCACTTCACAATAACAGCACTTACAGTTGACCAGGGCAGCTCTAGCAGGGCAGAAATATGAGGAACTGACTTGTTGGAAAGGTGGCATCCTATGATGGTGCCACGTTGAAAGTCACTGAGCTCTTCAGTAAGGCCATTCTACTGCCAATGTTTGTCTATGGCGATTGCATGGCTGTGTCCTCGATTTTATACACCTGTCAGCAACGGGTGTGGCTGAAATAGCCAAATCCACTAATTTGAAGCAGTGTCCACAAACGTTTGTATATATAGTGTATGTGACATGATGTTAGGATATTCTATTGAACATGACTGCAGCACTGTAGATGACTCACTTTAACCCCTCTGTCTTCATGAAAAGCACCTCTGAGTCTTGTTATAGCCCTGTTATAGCCCTGTATATTAACCATGTTAATGTAACATCGTACTTGTACATTATGTAAGTTTAAGCCTAGATGACTAATAGAGTAAGCAGAGTTTATTAAGCAGCTACTGTATATGAGGCATCACAGGCTAGCCATGGCACACAAGGGCACAATTGGCTGTGCTGGACCTGTAATGTCTGCTACATTTTTGGTATTTTTATTTAACCTTTATTTAAGCAGGGAGTCATGCTGAGACCACGGTCTCTTTCGCAGATGAGCCCTGCATGAAAACATCGAAAAACAACAATTACACAATACATATTGTATCTATATACACATCAATTACACAATACATATTGTATCTATATACACATCAATTACACAATACATGAAAAGCAAATACAAAACACGAAAAGCAAAACAGTCATATGAAGCAAACACATTCTTCAGTTAAAAAGCCCACATTCAGTAAAAATACACACATTCTCCGACCTCCCCCCAGCACTGTGACCTGGATGCTAGCTCCAGACACTCCCAAAATATGTCACGCTCTTTGAATCGCTGATTTCGTTGAGGGACGTGTACCCTCCACGGACAGATGTGCTGCAGTCATCGGAACAAAGAAGAGCTGAGTGGGGCGACCCAGGTTTTATTTTAAGCTGCAGCACAGTATGCTGCGAAACACAACAAACACTTGTGGTCAATGTGGAGTCAAAGGCAATGGCAGGGCAGAGAAGTAAAAAAAACAAAAGAAACTAAGAGAAGTAATCCCTTTTAAGTTGCAAATCTGTGCAGGGATGAATTGAACATGTCTGGTTGGACAGGATGTGATTTGTCATAGAGGGAGAACACTGTCAGGACAGCGAGTTGGAAGTTTGGGATTGGGGCTAAGCCTAAATGCTCTTTAGGGGGATTTAGTGGTGGTCTTGGCTGCCCTGTCTTTTAGCTGTGCTTTAGCCCTGACATAGCCCTGCCATAGCCCTGCCCTATAGCCTTCCCTGCCGTAGTCCCACAACCTGGGACATTGCTGGGACATGCCTACTGGCACTCCATAACCACCACCAACCCCCCTTCCCACACACACTCCCCAGACTCCCCCTGCAAATGTTCAGCTTGTGTTTATTCTGCTGTGTCATGTAAGGGTAGCAGTATGTTATGGGCCATTTGTGCCTGGAGAGGTGAAGTAAGGCCTGCTAGCCAATTATGATTTCAATAGCTCAGTTGGTTCCAGCATGGTGCTTGCAATACCAGAGTTGTGGGTTTGATACATTTTAACTGTATCTCTTTGGATAAAGGTGTACTAAGTTATCGCTAGTCCTTATGCTCTGCCACTATGTGTCGCTGCAATCCTACTCTCACTGTCTTGACTCACTCAGACACCAGGTATCTTAGTGGGTAAGAGCATTGTGCCAGTAACCGAAAGGTCGCTGGTTCTAATCCCCGAGCCGACTAGGTGAAAAATCTGTTGATGTGCCCTTAAGCAAGGCACTTAACCCTAATTGCTCATGTAAGTCGCTCTGGATAAGAGCGTCTGCTAAATAATATAATTTTTTTTTATTTTATTTTTTTATTTAAGTTGTTCTTACTAAACCTTAAGGATCTCTGTATACTTTGTTCAAAAAACAGAAAATGTAGCTAAATTGTTTGAAATCATAAATACTGATTAGTGTTTGACAAGTAACACTGCCAAACCAAAAGGCTTTTCAAGACCTTGGCTTGGATGTAGTGTAGTTGAATAAATTCTCCAGCAAATACTATGAAAGATCAGCGTGATCAACAGATTGCCCATCAATGAGATTATACCTTCTAAACTTCTACATCACGAAGTGAGGCACATACAGTGGGGAAAAAAAGTATTTAGTCAGCCACCAATTGTGCAAGTTCTCCCACTTAAAAAGATGAGAGAGGCCTGTAATTTTCATCATAGGTACACGTCAACTATGACAGACAAATTGAGAAAAAAAATCCAGAAAATCACATTGTAGGATTTTTAATGAAGTTTATTTGCAAATTATGGTGGAAAATAAGTATTTGGTCAATAACAAAAGTTTCTCAATACTTTGTTATATACCCTTTGTTGGCAATGACACAGGTCAAACGTTTTCTGTAAGTCTTCACAAGGTTTTCACACACTGTTGCTGGTATTTTGGCCCATTCCTCCATGCAGATCTCCTCTAGAGCAGTGATGTTTTGGGGCTGTCGCTGGGCAACACGGACTTTCAACTCCCTCCAAAGATTTTCTATGGGGTTGAGATCTGGAGACTGGCTAGGCCACTCCAGGACCTTGAAATGCTTCTTACGAAGCCACTCCTTCGTTGCCCGGGCGGTGTGTTTGGGATCATTGTCATGCTGAAAGACCCAGCCACATTTCATCTTCAATGCCCTTGCTGATGGAAGGAGGTTTTCACTCAAAATCTCACGATACATGGCCCCATTCATTCTTTCCTTTACACGGATCAGTCGTCCTGGTCCCTTTGCAGAAAAACAGCCCCAAAGCATGATGTTTCCACCCCCATGCTTCACAGTAGGTATGGTGTTCTTTGGATGCAACTCAGCATTCTCTGTCCTCCAAACACGACGAGTTGAGTTTTTACCAAAAAGTTCTATTTTGGTTTCATCTGACCATATGACATTCTCCCAATCCTCTTCTGGATCATCCAAATGCACTCTAGCAAACTTCAGACGGGCCTGGACATGTACTGGCTTAAGCAGGGGGACACGTCTGGCACTGCAGGATTTGAGTCCCTGGCGGCGTAGTGTGTTACTGATGGTAGGCTTTGTTACTTTGGTCCCAGCTCTCTGCAGGTCATTCACTAGGTCCCCCCGTGTGGTTCTGGGATTTTTGCTCACCGTTCTTGTGATCATTTTGACCCCACGGGGTGAGATCTTGCGTGGAGCCCCAGATCGAGGGAGATTATCAGTGGTCTTGTATGTCTTCCATTTCCTAATAATTGCTCCCACAGTTGATTTCTTCAAACCAAGCTGCTTACCTATTGCAGATTCAGTCTTCCCAGCCTGGTGCAGGTCTACAATGTTGGTTCTGGTGTCCTTTGACAGCTCTTTGGTCTTGGCCATAGTGGAGTTTGGAGTGTGACTGTTTGAGGTTGTGGACAGGTGTCTTTTATACTGATAACAAGTTCAAACAGGTGCCATTAATACAGGTAACGAGTGGAGGACAGAGGAGCCTCTTAAAGAAGAAGTTACAGGTCTGTGAGAGCCAGAAATCTTGCTTGTTTGTAGGTGACCAAATACTTATTTTCCACCATAATTTGCAAATAAATTCATTAAAAATCCTACAATGTGATTTTCTGGATTTTTTTTTCTCAATTTGTCTGTCATAGTTGACGTGTACCTATGATGAAAATTACAGGCCTCTCTCATCTTTTTAAGTGGGAGAACTTGCACAATTGGTGGCTGACTAAATACTTTTCTTCCCCACTGTATCTCTTATTGTGAGCCTTTGAGGACAGTCTATGAATGACTCACATTAGCATTCAAAGAACAGTGCTATTCAATCAGCCAGGACTGCAAAAATCTGACCTTTTCATCAACCTGGAACTGCGACATTGAAAATGTACTGTAGCTTAGTTGTTTTGCTACCATTGACGGTTGGTGTTTGAAGAAAGCAGTTGCCACCCAATAGGAATGGTGCTTACAAACGTGTCTTTAAAGGAAACTCAGTCAGCGCTTATTGCCAATGTACTGTAATACTGGGTTTAACTTAGCTTACTTGTCTCTTAGAAACAGACACAAAAAGGGCCAATGTCAATGAAGGCAGCACAAAGCAATTTCAACACCAATTCAGGCAAACAAACAAAGTACAAATACACAAACATGTTGTTGTTTTTTCAACTGGGAGAACAGTCACGTTTTAGGCTTCACAACAAATCCCCCTGGTTGCGGCTGTGGGTGTACTCTACTAGCTGTCTCAAGGAAAGATGTCAGTTTGACATGAGAGAATCCTCTCTTTGACATCTTAGACCCAAAGTCCAATGCTGACTGGATTGTTCCTCTCTACTTGTCTTTGTTTGTTTCTCTTTCTCTCTCTTTCTCTCTCTATGCCCCTCCTCTGTCCATGTATCTCTCTCTATCTCCTCTCTCTCCTATGTGTCTCTGTCTTTTCTTCTCTCTCTCTCTCTCTCTCTCTCTTCCTGTCTTGGCTCCTGAAGTCTCCGACCAAATGGTACATGAAACTGGTGCCTGTAAGTCAGCTGACCAGCGCTACACTTATATATCCCTCTTTCATCTGTCCATTTCCATAGTGAATGTCTCTCACCGCCATCTCCATAATGTCTCCATGGTGACTGTCCCCATGGTAAATGTTATCATTCTACAAGTGAACGTCAACATGTGATTGCAGTTATTGGTGTCGCTTTTTTGTGCGGTTAACTCAGTTTCCCTCAGTTTCCCTGAATTTGATTTAATAAAGATGATTTGTGTTACTTGGAGGTTACTGAACATCTGATTGATGCATGGTGATGTTCTCTATTATAAACTTGATATTACATTGTAATGTTTTGATGTCCGATTAAGTATTCCCATGGTCTGTGTGTCGTTAGTCCCTGCATGATGCAATATCATCATTGTTCATCTCCAATGAGAGATGCACTCCATCGATATGGTAATCTGCATTCCCACGTGTCTGCCTCTGTCAGTGTATTTTTTTGTCTGTCCGTGTGTGTATGAATCTCCCTTGTCCCATCTCTCTACCTGCCAAGACCCATTGTCTGTCTGTCTTTCCTGTGGTGCTCCAGGCTCGCTACAGGAAGGAGCATGCGGTGGCCCAGCAGGTGCCCTGGATCCCCCCTGTGGACAACCTGCTGAAGGACACCACTGACGGCTGCGCCCTGGCCACTCTGCTGCACTTCTACTGCCCACAGCTAGTCAGACTGGAAGGTACACTAACTAGACAGTACTAAACTGTATTCTGACCGTGGGGATGGGGGGGGGGTGTGTGTGGTGTGTGTGTCTGTGGTTCCCTATCAACACATTACCCTATCGAGAGTGGGTGGCAGGTAGCTTAGTGGTTAAGAGCGTTGTGCCAGTAACCGAAAGGTCACTGGTTCTAATCCCCGAGCCGACTAGGTGAAAAATCTGTCGATGTGCCCTTGAGCAAGGCACTTAACCCTAATTGCTCCTGTAAGTCGCTCTGGATAAGAGCGTCTGCTAAATGACCAATGTATGTATGTATGAGAGGCCTATAGCTGTCTGAGTTATTCCATCACTTAGTCTGGAGGTGTTAAGGGCTCTCCCCTGGCTAGCCTTTCATGTCCCAGGAGGAGTGAGTGAGCCATCAGCCATCCATTAGTGATGAACATCAAACCTCATAATCAACTCACCTTTAATCTCATCAACCCACTGATGAAGTGGATGGGATCTGATATGGACACACACACGGCTCAGTACCCCAAACTCAGAGTAATGATTGATTTAAAGGCACTCCATAAGATTCTGTTTTCGCATCAAAATGTCTTGAGTACCTTCTGGAAAACATACAGTATCCTGATCCCTGATTGGTCAATCCCAGATAAAAAGGGACAAATACCTTACAAATACCTCCAGCCGCCTTACTCCTAATGGACATTCACTTCCTGATTCACTTCCAAGGGATTTGTGCAGCACTTGTCTCTCAGACCCCCTTTAACCACCTTAGCCAATGATGTGTCCTTGTGGCCTGTCCCTGTCAGATATCTGCCTTAAGGAGAGCATGTCGCTGGTGGACAGCCTGTACAACCTTCAGCTGGTGCAGGAGTTCTGTCAGGAGCACCTCAACCGCTGCTGCCACTTCAGTCTGGAGGACATGGTCTACGCCTCCTCTTCAGTCAAAGTAAGTCCACAAGGCAAAGTTACGGCTTTTAAGTGTGTTTTGAAAGAATCTCTGAGGTACACATTTTTATATTTTTCACACTATTGTGTCTATACCATACAGTGTTGGCTGGGATATTTCCTTTTCACGTGGTCCTTTCCCGCACCGTTCCAGCAACTAGGTTGCATGTGTAACCACGCCAGCGCAGTACAGCGCAGCATGGCTTGGCTCAGCTCAGTAGTGTGAAAAGGGTATTACTGCACTGGCGTGGTTACAGCCAACTCGGTTTGAATTGTTGATTTTTAAAGGGCAGCAAAAGTTCTAAGACATTTTGCAAAGAAAATAATCAATTTGGAAGGAAGATAGTCCAAAGAGCTAAGGACAATGGGTAAAACTAGGCAGAAGTATTGGCAGCTACAGTGTGTGCAGCATTGCCAGAGTTGGTGAGTCGTGTATATTCATATTATGTAATACAGCTGGAGAAAGCCTGGTGGAAAATGGGATCTGTCTTAAATAGGTCCTGTAAACTCTCTGTCCTCACAAACCACAGTATCTGGTTTGTTTGAGCTAGATGTGTGTCTGTTTTGTCTGTCCCTCTCTTTTGTCTGTATTGCCTTCCCTACTTCTCTCTATTTCCTCTCTCCTCTCTCCTTCTTTCCTCTCATTATATACCTTTCTCTCATCTCTCTCTTCTGCGCTTTTCTCTCTCTCTCTTTATTTCTTTCTCTCCTCTCTTTTTCAATTTTTCACTGGAAGCTATTATATAGGTATGTATTGTATTCATGTACAGTATGGATGAACACATAACACTTGGCTTGTGTCTTTGTGTTGGCTCCCAGGCTGTGAATAGTGGGTGTTGGTCACGTGTGTTGTTGCCAATGTATTGGGACAGTCATAGAAACTGGTGGGAAACAAACAGCTCTGCATTCCCCATTTTCTCTATTCTTGTACAGTATGGTCTCACAAGTACTGTACTGAAAAATGGTATGTGTTGCTTTTTGTGGCAGAGAAGTGTCATAATGGAGGAAAGGTGAGTTGGGGGTGAGTTCAAATGTGGTTGTGAGTGTGTGTGTGTGTGTTGTGTGTGTGTGTGCCTTGAGTGCTGCAAACAACAGTGTACCACTGGCCCTGTCTGGGTGTTGAGTATTGGAGTCTACCCAGCTGTCAGTTGTGCTGGTCCTTTCGGTGGAGAAGTGTTGCTAGTAGCTGTTAAAGCACACAGTTCACAAGGTGGGTGAATAGTAGTGAGCTGGAATCAGCTGTGTCTGACACGTCCCTTTAAGCAACCCCAGACACAATGGCAGATCCTGAATAAGTCACTTCACAGAAGGCTTGGAAAGGAGTTGGTTCAGGCTGCGGGCCAGGTAAAACAGAGCCCTTGGGCTGAAGAGGCAAAAAAGTCCTACTGCATCTATCATGACACTAACATTGGGCTAATGCTAGCCACAATAGAAATATAATTACTAGAACTACATTCCCATTGAAGTCAATGTTCTGTGATAGGTGGACCAGCGGCCATATTGAGTGTACCCATGAGTGTTCCAGTCAAATTGCTGTAGTCTGAGAGGCTTGTCCCTTCTAGTAATTATATTTCTATGGCCACAACAACCTGTATACTAGCCACTGACAAAAGCCATAGATATGCACTTCATTTGAACCTCTTCTTGGGAGTTTGAGCTTCTAGTTGCTATTTCTGTGCAGCTTGTGTGACCCCAAAATCTCACACTCACCCAGCCCAAACCTCTTACTTTTATGAGCGAGAGAGAGAGAGAGAGAGAGAGAGAGAGAGAGAGAGAGAGAGAGATCATATCATTTATGGACATGGGGGACCTGAGACTATGAATACGGCCTCAGACACACAGGTCTCTGGTCTAATCAGCCCCTTGGCTAATGTGAAGTGATTAATGACATCATAGCCCATGGTAGCCAAGGCACCCACTGAGGACTGAGGGGGGCGGGGTTGCCAGTGTGGTCCCTACTAAACAGATTATCAATTTCCCCGCTTTAGCGTCAGCTTTGTTTGCAGTCAGCACCAATGAGCTCTCATCTCAGACATGGAGTGACACGCTGCAATCTCCAAACTTGGCAACCCGCCAGAGAACAGTAAGTGACAGTAAAATCGGACAATCTGGCAACTGGGCAAGGTAATATCAGGCGACAGGGTTGCAGTGTTGTGAGTAGGAGAAAATCGGGGGCAGAACAGAATGGATGTTTGACTGGCGGGGGTGTTAGGAGAGATAACGCTCCCAATCTAATGTGAGAGGAAGCAGGTAGACAGACAGATGGAGGGAGAGGACAGGCTTTTGCCATCTGGGCTATGCGAGACCATTTCTCTTTCTCTTTTATTTATCGTTTCTCTATCGGACTGGGACTGGGAGGACCCCACTCATGCTGCAGCTGAACAGACCTAGGGGTAGGCTACTGTAGCTCACTGCAATAGAAATTGTAGCCTGGTACCAGATCTGTTTGTGCTGTCTTGCAATCTGGTGTTGGTGAGACAGGAGTTGGCAAAACAACATTACCAGATTTGTAACCAGGCTATAAAAATGGTTGTTGTGATTGTTTGCTATACTGTATGTTATAGTGTTGGAGTGATAGGATTAAAGATTGCTATAGTTATTTTGATAATTTACTGTAGTTCAGTTGCTACAGAGTTTGACATTGGATAATTGTGTGTTTGTCAGTGTTCTGGCTGGATGGTCGTTTGTCAGTGTTTTGGCAACTGTATAGTCTGTCATGACAGAAGAAAACATTAAAATGTCTGTTATGACATAACACCCTGGAATATGAGCAAAGATGATTCCTGTGCGCTGGTTTTGCGTCACTGTATATTTGGATTGCAGAGATTATTGGCTTTGTAACAATAGAATGGGCTGTGCTCTGGTGGGGCGGCAGGTAGCTTAGTGGGTAAGAGCGTTGTGCCAGTAACCGAAAGGTCGCTGGTTCTAATCCCCGAGCCGACTAGGTGAAAAATCTGTCGATGTGCCCCTGAGCAAGGCACTTAACCCTAATTGCTCCTGTAAGTCGCTCTGGATAAGAGCGTCTGCTAAATGACTAAAATGTAAATGTAAATGTATATGGACACATGCTATCTCAGGGAGCTATACTCTGCATGACCAAAAACTGCTCACGGTACCAATCATTTAAAATGCAGCGTAGTCACTTTGGGGAGTCACCTCTAGTTAGCTGCTTCTGCTGTCTTGACATACTGTTAAATGGCTGAGGGTAAATATTGCTGAAGGGGTGAATCTCTCACACACACACTCGCACACATGCACTCACACACACACAAACGCACACACATGCGCACACACACATACATGCGCACGCACACACACTGCTTTTGCACTGAGTAAGGGAATGTTCCTTTTGTCTGAAATTGTGTTGCTGACCTGATGAACACCGCAGATACTCAAGGTCATATCGGAACACGTGTGTGTGCAAGCCTCCTTGGGGAACCCTGGGTCATGTTCATTAGGGCAAACCGTCGCAAAACGTTTAGCAACTGAAAATGGAAATAAGCGTTTATTATTGGACAAGTCAAGGTAGTCCCTCCCTGTTGCAGTGTGTTTTCTTCTATTTGGTGGCTATGAACATGACTTTGGGCTAAGTGTCAGTGGGTGAGGATGGTAACAAAGGAATAACAATAACACACCATGACTGGTCATGAGGATGTGGCCATCGTTTATTTTCCAATCTATCTATGTCAAGGGTTCTGATGCGAATGTGGTGTGGAATCAAGTGCAGGACACAGGAGCTCAGTCAAACTTGACTTTACTGGAAAGGCACAAAATGAACGGGTCAAACTAACCCGGAGGCGAACAATACGCAACAGTGCGTAAAATACAAAAACCGACTACGCACGAACAAAAGTGCGACGGTAATAACTAGCGTCTGTCCAAACAACAGTAGAACACCAACAGACAGGAAAAACAATTACACACAACACATGACAGAAACAACGAGAACTTATAGGACACATAATCAACACTAAACATGAACAGGTGTACTAAACAGACCAAACCAATCAAACATCGAAAACAAAGAACGGTGGCAGCTAGTACTCCGGAGACGACGACCACCGAAGCCTGCCCGAACAAGGAGGAGGAGCAGCCTCACCCCCCCTTGACGCGCGCGTGCGCTGACCCTGGCCTCGAGGATGACCAGGAGGACGCGGAGCAGGGCGCGTGGGATGACCACGATGGAACTCAGTCAGAAGAGACGGGTCTAAGATGTCCCTCCTCGGCACCCAGCACCGCTCCTCCGGACCGTACCCCTCCCACTCCACGAGATATTGGAGACCCGCCATCCGACGTCTCGAATCCAAGATGGACCGCACGGTGTACGCCGGTGCCCCCTCGATGTCTAATGGGGGCGGAGGAGTCTCTCTGATCTCATCTTCCTGGAGTGGACCAGCTACCACCGGCCTGAGAAGAGACACATGGAACGAGGGGTTAATATTCTTATACTCAATAGGCAGTTGTAATCTGTAACACACCTCGTTCAATCTTCTCAGGACTTTAAACGGCCCCACAAACCGCCGACCCAGCTTCCGGCAGGGCAGGCGGAGGGGCAGGTTTCTGGTAGAGAGCCAGACTCGATCACCAGGTGCGTACACCGGCCCCTCACTGCGGTGGAGATCGGCGCTCGCCTTTTGACGACGGATGGCCCGCTGCAGATGGACGTGTGCAGCGTTCCACGTCTCCTCCGAGCGCCGCACCCACTCATCCACCGCAGGAGCCTCGATCTGGCTCTGCTGCCATGGTGCCAGAACCGGCTGGTAACCTAACACACATTGGAAAGGGGTTAGGTTAGTTGAGGAGTGGCGTAGGGAATTCTGGGCCATTTCTGCCCAAGGAACATACCGTGCCCACTCCTCCGGCCGGCCCTGGCAGTATGATCTAAGAAACCTACCCACATCCTGGTTCACGCGTTCCACCTGCCCATTACTCTCAGGATGGTAACCCGAGGTAAGGCTCACCGAGACCCCCAAACGCTCCATAAATGCTCTCCAGACTCTGGAGGTGAACTGGGGACCTCGATCAGACACAATATCCTCGGGTACCCCGTAGTGCCAGAAAACGTGGGTGAATAGCGCTTCGGTGGTCTGTAGGGCAGGCCTTAGAGAACCGGTCCACAACGACCAGTATAGTGGTATTCCCCTGCAAGGGGGGAAGGTCAGTGATGAAGTCCACCGAGAGGTGAGACCATGGTCGTTGTGGAACGGGCAGGGGTTGTAACTTACCCCTAGGCAGATGTCTAGGCGCCTTACACTGGGCGCACACCGAGCAGGAGGAGACATAAACCCTCACATCCCTGGCTAACGTGGGCCACCAGTACTTAGCACTAAGACAGTGCCCTGTCCGGCCAATACCAGGATGTCCAGAGGAGGGTGACGTGTGAGCCCAATAAATGAGTCGATCCCGAACCTCGAGCGGAACGTACGTCCGACCCACAGGACACTGTGGAGGGCTAGGGTCGGTACGCAATGCCCGCTCGAGTTCAGCATCGACCTCCCACACAACCGGTGCCACTAGACAAGACTCCGGTAGTATGGAAGTGGGCTCAACGGACCTCTCCTCTGTATCATACCGCCGGGACAGGGCGTCTGCCTTACCGTTCTGGGACCCAGGGATGTACGTGATTTTAAATACGAACCTGGCTAGAAACATGTTCCACCAAGCCTGGCGAGGGTTCAGTCTCCTAGCTGCCCGGATGTACTCCAGGTTCCGATGGTCAGTCAAAATGAGGAAAGGGTGTTGAGCCCCCTCAAGCCAATGCCTCCACACCTTTAGGGCCTGTACCACGGCTAACAGCTCCCTGTCCCCTACGTCATAATTTCGCTCCGCCGGGCTGAGCTTTTTAGAGTAAAAAGCACAGGGGCGGAGTTTAGGTGGCGTGCCGGACCGTTGAGATAGAACAGCCCCTATACCGGCCTCAGACGCGTCCACCTCTACCTGAAATGGTAAGGCGGGATCCGGATGCGCCAGCACCGGGGCCGAAGTAAACAGGCCCTTCAGTTTCCCAAAAGCCCTGTCCGCCTCAGCTGACCACTGCAAGCGCACCGGACCCCCTTTCAGAAGAGACGTGATGGGAGCTGCCACCTGTCCAAAACCCCGGATAAACCTCCGGTAGTAATTTGCAAAGCCCAAGAACTGCTGCACCTCTTTAACAGTGGTTGGGGTTTGCCAATTACGCACGGCTGACACACGGTCCACCTCCATCTTCACCCCTGACGCGGACAACCGATAACCCAAAAAGGAGACCGACTCCTGGAAAAACAGACATTTCTCTGCCTTGACATACAGGTCGTGCTCCAACAGCCTCCTCAACACTCGACGCACCAGGGCTACATGCTCGGCTCGGGTAGGAGAGTACACCAGAATGTCATCAATGTACACGACCACACCTTGCCCCTGCATGTCCCGGAAGATCTCATCCACGAAGGATTGGAAGACCGAAGGAGCGTTCATCAACCCGTATGGCATGACGAGATACTCGTAATGACCCGAGGTGGTACTAAAGGCTGTTTTCCATTCATCGCCCTCCCTAATGCGCACCAAGTTATATGCGCTCCTGAGATCCAGTTTTGTGAAGAAACGCGTGGATAACTGTATTTCACAGTAATCTGATTGAGACCACGGTAATCAATGCACGGGCGCAACCCTCCATCCTTTTTCTTCACAAAAAAGAAGCTCGAGGACGCAGGGGAAGTGGAGGGCCGTATGTATCCTTGTCTCAAAGATTCGGCTATGTAAGTCTCCATAGCCCTTTTCTCCTCTTGAGACAACGGATACACGTGGCTCCGCGGGAGCGCCGCTCCTGCCTGGAGGTCTATCGCACAATCCCCCTGTCTGTGAGGAGGCAACTGCGTCGCTCTCGATTTACTGAACACAAGTGCCAAATCCCCATATTCAGGGGGAATGTGCATTGCGGGCACTTGGTTTGGACTTTCCACCGAGGTCGCCCCCACGGAAACACCCAGACATCGCCCCTCACACTGAGCAGACCACTCCTTGAGAGCCCTCTGTTGCCACGAAATGGAAGGGTTATGGGTACTTAACCAGGGAATTCCCAGCACCACCGGGTGCGCAGGAGAGTCGATCAGATATAGCTGAATATTCTCCTCATGACCCCCCTGCGTACACATCTTAAGTGGTGCTGTGACCTCCCTAATCAACCCCAAACCCAACGGGCGGCTATCTAATGCATGAACGGGAAATGAAGCGTCAACCGGAAGGAGGGGAATCCCTAAATCTAAACAAGATTTCCGATCAACAAAATTCCCAGCTGCGCCTGAATCTACTAGCGCCTTATGCTGGGAATGAGGTGCAACCTGTGGAAAACTTACAGGTATACAAAAATGTACAACAGAAAGCTCTGGGTAAGTGGGGCGTCTACTCACCTGGGATGGCTCCCCAGTGCGTGGCCTGTTGTCCCCTCCCCCTGGAGACCCTCCCCAGCACCTGGCCGCAGTGTGCCCTCCACGGCCACAAGTGGTACAGGGGACAGCCTCCCTCGGGCTCCTTCTCCTCCTTTCTCTAGCGCCAGCACTTCCGAGCTCCATAGGGCTCGGCTCGGAGGTGCTGGAGGATGGAATGGACGGACCCCACTCGGAACGTCCACGGGTGGCCAGCAGGGTGTCCAGACGGATGGACATGTCGACCAACTGGTCGAACGTAAGGGTGGTGTCCCTGCAAGCCAACTCACGTTGGACGACCTCCCGTAGGCTACATCGAAAGTGATCGATGATGGCCCGTTCATTCCACCCTGCATCTACCGCTAGAGTCCGGAACTCCAGTGCGAACTCCTGGGCGCTCCTCCTCCCCTGTCGGAGGTAGAATAGACGCTCCCCCGCCGCTTTCCCCTCAGGTGGATGGTCGAACACGGCCCTGAAGCGACGGGAGAACTCCGCATAGGAGATGGTGGTGGCGTCTATCCTCCTTCATTCGGCGTTGGCCCATTCCAACGCCTTGCCGGTGAGACAGGAGATGAGGGCGGAAACGGTCTCGTGTCCCGAGGGCACCAGGTGTACAGTGGCCAGGTAGAGCTCCACCTGCAGGAGGAACCCCTGACACCCGGCAGCTGTGCTGTCATACGCCCTCGGGAGCGAGAGCCGAATCCCACTGGGTTCCGGAACTTGGGCGGCCGGACTGACCGATGGTGGTGGTGAGGTAGGTGGAGGTGTGGGTAACCCTCTGGACTCCCATCGGTGCAAGGTGTTGATGACGTCCTGCAGAGCGGTCCCCATTCGCTGGATCTGATCATCCTGGCTGCGGACGCGCTCCTCCAACGACTCAGGCGCTGCTGTCGCTCCTGCTGATTCCATAGATGGTGTGTAATTCTGTCAAGGGTTCTGATGTGAATGTGGTGTGGAATCAAGTGCAGGACACATGAGCTCAGTCAAACTTGACTTTACTGGAAAGGCACAAAATGAACGGGTCAAACTAACCCGGAGGCGAACAATACGCAACAGTGCGTAAAATACAAAAACCGACTACGCACGAACAAAAGTGCGACGGTAATAACTAGCGTCTGTCCAAACAACAGTAGAACACCAACAGACAGGAAAAACAATTACACACAACACATGACAGAAACAACGAGAACTTATAGGACACATAATCAACACTAAACATGAACAGGTGTACTAAACAGACCAAACCAATCAAACATCGAAAACAAAGAACGGTGGCAGCTAGTACTCCGGAGACGACGACCGCCGAAGCCTGCCCGAACAAGGAGGAGGAGCAGCCTCAGCCGAAACCGTGACAATCTAAGTGTGTACTAGGCCTATATCATATGCCATTTCTGGGATTCGTTGATTTTCAATTTCAACATGTATGATGAAGAAAATTGTGTTTTATCATAATTCGAAAGTGTCATGAGTAAATATTTTTGACAGCAGCTCTTTGAATATATTTAGGTCTCTGTGGATTTTTCTCTGCCACTGTTCTTTCTGACCTGGTTTCTGACCAGGGCATGAGTTCTAATGGTGTAACAATCCGATATAAGGATAGCAAGGGAAAGGAAAAAAAGCTTTCCGCTCTTTGTGTACAGGTGATCTGGCCAAACAGGTCCTTGTGGGTCAAACGTATTAATTGGTTCCCTAGCCCATCTCGAGAGGAGCAGAAACTAGGCTAATGGTTATTTTTTCATGCACAGGCACATTCTAGTACCAACAGTACCACATACCATTATGTAAATGACGTATTAACTAAAGGGATCTGGCTGTGTACTGTAAAATAATGTGACCCCTTGAGAAATGTGAAACAGCACCTCTGTTTTGATGGTGATTAAAGTGATGGGGGAAACACTGTATAAACAAGGTAAGCGAAGTGACTAAATTAGCTCACTCTTTACTCTAACCAGTTGGATTATTTTTGGTCTATGAAGGTTTTTGTTAAGAAAATGTAAATGTACTAACTGACTGATCTCAAAGTATTTGTGATGTGCACTGACAGATAAAAAAAATAACTACCTTTCTGCAAGGGTTTGTCTTTTTGAAGTTAACAGAGACATCTTGTGGAAGCTCAGGTATACTGCATTTGACAGTTTTGAACTGTCATGCTTTTCTCCAAGAGTTTATGTTGCAGTAGTCTTTTGCCTGGTGTGAAATGTTGATGTTGCAGTACTGTTTCTATTAACCTCAGCCTTACCACCATATCCTGTCTGTTTTTGTATTTTCCAGAATAACTACCTTGTGTTCATGGCCGAGCTGTTCTGGTGGTTTGAAGTGGTGAAGCCCTCCTTTGTACAACCAAGAGTTCTGGACACTGAAGGTAAGTCAGGCGAAGCAATTTTTTGTACTTCAGAACTGTTTTGTATTTTTGCAAACCTTCAGACAGCTCGGTTAAATAATTCCTGTTCTATTTATTGGTTTAAAAGGCCCAGTACAGTCTTTTCCTGTATTTTATATCATATTGTACAACAGCTGATGAAACTAACACTGTAAAACTGTGAAACAATTTTATCAGTGTTATTTCCTGGTAGTTGCTGGTTGAAAATACAATCTACACAGGACCTTCTAATCTAAATTAGTTAATAGACCAATAACAAAGACATTTCCAAACCTCTCTGCCAATAACAGCTAGTTTTCAGTTTTCCCCTCCCCGCTCAGACCACTCCCAGACAGTCCTAGCAAAATTATTTTTTTGTTGTTGCTAAAAAAACTATTTTTGCCCATTTTAATGGAAATCTACTACAGTAAGGTACTTAACTGTTATCCAGAAATTATTTGATAATGATATAAAAACAGCTGTATTGGGCCTTTAATGAGAGTAAAGTGTTTGTGTTTGGTTTTCAGAGCCAGCCCTTACGTCGTTAAGGAACATGCCCTCTGTTCCCATCTCCAATGTCACCAAGAAGAGCTTCATGGAGAGACCGCCCAGCCAAGAACAACCCAGGTAATATTTGTTATTAATTTATGGTCCCGTTTGGCTCAGTTGGTACGTCATGTTCGATTCCCATTGGGGGCACCCATACGAAAATGTATACACACATATATATTTTAGGGTAGCAAAAGTATTGGGACAAATTCACTTATTAAGTATTTGGTCCAATTTCATAGCACGCAATGACTACATTATATTGTGACTCTACAAATTTGTTGGATGCATTTGCTGTTGGTTTTGATTGTGTTTCAGAATATTTTGTGCCCAATAAAAATGAATGGAAAATAATGTATTTTGTCATTTTGGAGTCACTTTTATTTTAAATAAGAATATAATTGTGTTTCTAAACACTTCTACAGGAATGTGGATGCTATCATAATTACGGGTAATCCTGAATGAATCGTGAATAATGATGAGTGAGAAAGTTACAGATGCACAAATATCATACCCCCCCAAAAATGCTAATCTCCCCTGTTATTGTAAGAATGGCCCCTGCTAGAGCGTCACATCTCTCTACCTCCTCTCCCTCGCGCTTTATCAGCTCCAGTTAATAAAGTAGCTTAAAAATTGACTTTTCTGCTGCTTCCCTCACTCAGATTGGACCGGGTCTGGATCCGACAAGGTCTTTACGGAACAAGTCTAGTTGGAACGGGTCTCTATATTTAACAAATGTATTTATGCATATCGGGTCTGGGTGGGAAAGCCCCAGGTCCATTTCGGAACAGATCCAACTTTTTGGACCTGTGAAGGACTCTATAGTACAGTACAGAACGCCCAATCTCTTCTGACCATCAGGATTATTTTGATGTGGTTATCTTGGCTGTCAAAGCCATCTGCAGGGGATACTGATCAGAGGTTTAGCAAACCCATCTGGAATGTATTAAGTAGTCTGGGGTGGGCGCATACTGTACATACAGCGCTCAAGCTATGGTGCCAAGCTTAAAAAAGACCCCATTCCGATCTCTCAACAGAGGTGATAATGTCTTGGTCATTTCGAAACCAGTATGTTTTCACCTTTGTATGTGTTCATGATTGTCAATTATATTTTATATATTTTTCCTCCCTCTAGCCTGCCTCTCCGACCCCAACCTAGGAACTCAGGTAACTAGATCACTAGATGTTTTGGCTTCTACCAATTGATCATTAAATAGATTAAAATATCATACAAATTGATGGATCTGATATGAGATGCTTATTCTCATCCAGGTGAAATAAAGAGATCAACCTCAATGTCCTTTGTGGATGGCTGTGTAGGAACTTGGCCCAAGGAGAAAAGGTTAGTGTCATGTAGCAAGTCAATTAATGATTTTTAACAGACAAAATACTTTTAAATAGGCAATTATTGTTTGGTACATGATTGTCATAACGTATTGGTAAAAAAAAGTGCAATACCAATAGCATTTGACTGATTGACTGACTGTTTGTTTTTGCCAGGTCTGGGCCTTACGGGGTATCCTTCGACATCCCTTTTGACAAAGACAACGCCCAGACGTCCACTCCCCCCGGCCGTGGCATGACTCGCTCTACCAGCACAGATGTCTTCAAGGTTCAACAGATGCCCCGGGGCATGAAGAGGAACCTGTCCTTCCAGCCCATCAACGGGCAGGGTGTGGGCATCGGGGAGGAGGGCCTCCCGGACAGCCTGGCAGGGCCCGATCTGCCCAGACAGCCTGGCAGGCCTCAACCCCCTGGAGGCCCACTGAGGTTCCCCAACGGCGGCGCAACCCTGGACAGGCACGGAAATAGCACCGCCACCCCCAGCATGGAGGAAGCCCTTCAGATCATCCACAACACCGGTAGGCAGCTCCCACAGTGCTCCCTGGCAGAGGACATCAAAAACGGGTTCTTCCTGCACAGTCCAAACCAGGGCAGAGGAGGTGGCGTAGTCGGCCTGGACCCTAATGCTCGACCGGAGAACAGCGACCTGGATTCATTGAGCATCATGGACACCACGGAGGTGGACACGGGCATCCACGTGAGGACCGAGGACATCGCCGAGACCCTGGACGAGGACTCATCGCTGAGGGAAGCTCTGAGCATGGAACTGGACATGGACACGCCCAGCCCCTGCCCGAGCAGCTCCGGCTACACCAAATCTCCCTCCACCAGCTCCGGCACCAAGATGACCAGCTTCGCCGAGCAGAAGTTCCGGAAGCTCAGTGTCCCCGAATCAGGGGGAAGAAGCAGCAGCAGCGGGGGCGGCAGCTCCCTCAAGACCACCCCCGAGGGCTCAGAACTGGGCCTCCCGCTGTCTGTCTCCTGGGCACCCACTCTGGAACACAGCCCCGTCCATCAACAGAGCGCGCCCCTCACCCAAGACCCTCCAACTGGGCCAGCCCAGGGCCCTCCCCCTAGTGACCCGGCCCAGGCCATGGCGACGGAGATGGTGGAGCTGCGCATGCGCCTAGAGGAGAAGCGAAAAGCCATTGAGGCGCAGAAGAAGAAGGTGGAGGCCGCATTCACTCGCCACCGCCAGAGGATGGGCCGCTCCGCCTTCCTGGACGTGGTCAAGAGGAAGGGTGATGGCGCCTCGGGGGTAGGAGGACAGGAGGAAGGGGGGAAGACGACAACGGAGGATGAGAGGAAAATAGGGAGGAGCAAAGCGGACACACCCGACGGGGCTGAGCAGGGGCATGGACCCTCCGGAGCCCGCTGGCTGAAATCCTCCTCCTCCGGAGGAGGAGGAGGAGGAGGAGGAGGAGGAGGAGGAGGAGGAGAAGAGGGAGGTCAAGGTCCCGTCGGAGGTCAAGGACCCGGTGAGGTGGATCTAGCTGAATACACACGCTCCATTGAGAAGCTGAACCACTCACTGGGCTTCCTGCAGATGGAGATGCAGCGCCTGGCCCAACAACAGGAGGTCATCATGGCCATGAGAGAACAAAAGCAACAAAAGGCCTGGGTCATCCCCCCTCCCCAGACCTCGCCCCAGAAATACACCCGCACCTCCGCCCGCTCCTCCGACTCACCCTCCCCGGCCGACTCACCCCACTCCGCCCACCGCTCGCCCACCAGCATCAAGAGGAAGTCGGCCTCCTTTCACTCACGGAACCCCCGCACGCCACGCCCCAGCGAGCTCAAGCTGGCCCCCTATAACCGCTGCCTGACAGCGCCCCAGTCCGTGGACAGCCTCCCCCGCCTGCGCCGGTTCTCCCCATTCCAGCCCATGGCCTTTGCCTACATGGGGGAGAAACCCACCGGTCAAACCACAGAGACCGAGGACAAGGATAGGGACATGGACACTGAACCCCTGCTATCCCCAGAGGGAGAGGCTGGTAGTGCCTCCCCAGCCAAAGACAACCAGAAAAGACAAGAAGGGACCCGAGAGATTGCCAAGAAGGATGAAGCGGAGGAACATGAGGAGATGGAAGTAGAGGAGAAGAAGCAGGTGAAAATGGATGAGATCAAACCCATAATAGTGTCGACTGTATCTGAAGTGCTGGCCCAGCCAGTGAAAGAGACCTTTACGGTCACCCCCACCGAGACCCCCCTTATCTCAGACCTCTTTGGCGGTGCCAGAAGCAACCTGATTGAGGTGCCTCTGTACGTGCTCAAGCCACTTGAGGGAGAAGGCATGGAGGAGAGTGGAGACATGGAGGGGACCTATGGCGATGACAAAAAAAATTCCTGTGGCTTTTTCTTTAAGGTAGGAAGTTAAAGATACACGATAGAAGTTTAGTTGCTAATAGTTGTGAGTTAATCTCTACACAATATTTATGTCCATTTAGGGGAACCCTTTTGGCTCAAGAGTACTCCAAGGCAAAAGTTCTTTACAGCCTCTTAAACAGTCATTCTGATTTCTATGTAAAATAGCCTTTTGAGTGACTAAAACATCACCCATAATATTTCTTCCCGATATAAATGCTCAACATTTTAGAAAAAGTAATTTTTCTCTCATGTCAAACTATCAGGAAGTCTGAAAAGACAGAGTGAGTGAGCGGGGAGTTGGTAGGCTGAGTGGGCAGGGAGCTCACCTTGAATGATGGTTCTTTGAAAACACCTATTCAAGCAACATGCAGTGAGCATTTTTGCACTGAGATTATCTCAAGCAAATTTGCTAATACACAAAGCAACTCAAACAACAGTTTCTGTCATACATAAATTCATGATTTCACAAATGATTTGTTTATCCAACTGTTTGGTTATTGTAACAGTATCAATATAGACAAAATGTTGGCCGTATAATTTAGCTAGCTAGCCCAAATGGAATTGTCAGCACTGTTTATCAAGCTAGCTAGCTAGCTAGTTCATCTTGAACAATTTCAGTTGAAACTTTACAGGGTAAGGTCTGGGTACATTTCAATAAATATATATATATTGACTGCCAAACAATGTTCATATACTGTATCATGACTATCAATGATGTCAAGAAGTATGAATCTCCCGTTTGGCATGTCTCTTGATGTAATGACATGACAACTGCATCTGAGTTTTGGGCAACCCTTCCCCCGCTTTTGTTCCATGCTGGCTGATAGGGCCGGTTCCAGGCACAAGCGACATAAGAGGCCACTAAAGCCTCGTTCACACTGCAGGCCTTAATGCTCAAATCACTTTTGTTTTTCAAATCCGTTTTGGAATACTGACTGTCCAAACAGCAAGTGACCAAATCGGATTTGTGTGTGTTCAGACATTTGCTGAAATGGCTGCGCTAGTTGTCATAGTGATGACGGGTGTGTGCACAGTGGTGTGGGCTGATTGGTGGTGGTGCTCGTGCTTCCTAACACGAGCACCACCACAAGCTAAGGTGACAACATTGCCTGCCATGGATGTTTCCCTGTTGCTTTGAATGTTCAAAATCATAGTGTAAGAACACTTTTAAAGCTTCTCAGGATAAGATGATCCAACTTTCAAAACTATTCATTTTTGGCTAGCCAGAGCACTCTAACTAGCTAGCTAGGTTTGTGTTTAGCTTTCTAGCACATTCACTAATTTGTTTATAAGCTAGTTAGCTACCACGTCATGTTCTTGTCAAACTGTCAACAGAGTAGCTAGCAAGCAACAGATTTGACCATTCATACACAAGTCGCATGGCCAGGAATCAGATTTGTATCTGACTTCAAACCACCTACGAAGATGGTTTGAAATGTGGCTTGTAATATCCGATTCTGTCAGTCACTGACAGTCACTGAATTAGCCATGTCAGCTAACAATTGTTTGATTGGTAGTTAGTCTAGCCAGCTTTCTAAACTTGTATTAATCATGGCTGAATACCGACCGGGCACGCAGGGCACGTGCCCAGGGGCCCTGACCTCCAGGGGGCCCCCATTGATTTTGTTAGTCATTCTCACTCAGATATCATATTAACATGGTATAAGTAATTGCAAAATGTGTAGAATTGCAGGAAATTAACTTTAAATCAAAACAAATTATCCACCTTCAAGAGGGGTGCCACTAAAATGTTTTACTGTGAGGTGGGGGGCCCCCCAACCAAATCTATCTTAGGGCCCCTGGCAGAAGACCTAGCTAGCCAGTTACTAGCTAACACCAAACACAGATTAAAGCATATTTTTGCCTTAGATGAATAGGGGAAACCTCTTATTATATTTGCTGACACGCTGCAGTAACATTTTGGCACCAGTAGACTAGCTAACTAGCTATGTAAACAACGCCCCTCTGCAAACACACCTTCTGTGATGTTGGTTACAAGGTGGTACTTATTTAAATGAGGTAAGAGGTTAAGACATTACCATTTGTGTTTTAAAATGAGAGGCTTATTGTGATGTCACAAAAAGCCCTTCATAATCATGCCTCCTGAATTGAAGTGTTTGACATGGGGGATGGGACCAGTAACTTTATGATCAAACTTTATCAATGTAGAAGCAACAGTCATTTTTCATACTTTGGTCATCCTACTTTGATCTGGTTTCATCCAAATATCATCCAATTTCAAATCAAATTAAAGTTTATTGGTAACGTACACAGATTTGCAGGTGTTCTAGCAGGTGCAGTGAAATACTTTATATAAATACGTGGTGTGTAAGGGAGAGTGGTGTAAATTGAGCCAAAGTGGTAAGTTGAGCCACCCTTGTTTCTATGAAACCATACACAAAATGAATCATTTGACCAAATATTTTGGAAGAGGTCATCATTTCATGGAGTCTGTGAAGAAAAAAAAACACATGGAAAAATTGGTAAGACAAAAAACTGATTTTTTTATGATGCTTGTATCTAATCAAAGTAGATAATTTTAAGATTGTTCTATACATCAGTTGGGCTTTCTATAAGCTACAAATGAGGTCCTAAACCTATCATGAAAGTCATCCTTGTAGCTGTGTCGGCTAATATAGTCAAAATGTTTGCCTTGGGGTAAGTTGAGCCAATGGCAAGTTGAACAAATTGAAAGACATTATCGCTGGGATATGAGGTAACAATAGGGCCTGGCATGTGTTAAAAGTGTAAAAAAAAAAAAAGTACAACATTTTTGTTAGGTGTTAAGCCTGTGTTAAAAGTTGCTTAAAATTATTAAAAGACAAAAAAGCTATTGTGATTATGTTGAATTGTGTTTGGGAAATAAAAATAGACATGGTTTTAAAAATGTATTGGTAATATTTCATTCAGTACAGAAAAGGCAGCTTTACTTACCCTTTCCCGCACTCAATTTACCCCGTACCTGGGGTAAGTTGTGCCAAGAGACCACTTTTTTGTTCGGGACCTTTTTATGTTTGGGAATAATCTCCAAAATAATAGCTATTACATTAGTGTGTTATTTTAGCCATTTCATTAGTGTGTAAATGGCAGATTCTGGACATTTGACTGCCAAGAATGACTATTGTCTTACAGTGAGGGAAAAAAGTATTTGATCCCCTGCTGATTTTGTACGTTTGCCCACTGACAAAGAAATGAACAGTCTATAATTGTAATGGTAGGTTTATTTTAACAGTGAGAGACAGAATAACAACAACAAAAATCCAGAAAAATGCATGTAGAAAATTTTATAAATAGATTTGCATTTTAATGAGGGAAATAAGTATTTGACCCCCTCTCAATCAGAAAGATTTCTGGCTCCCAGGTGTCTTTTATACAGGTAACGAGCTGAGATTAGGAGCACACTCTTAAAGGGAGTGCTCCTAAACTCAGCTTGTTACCTGTATAAAAGACACCTGTCCACAGAAGCAATCAATCAATCAGATTCCAAACTCTCCACCATGGCCAAGACCAAAGAGCTCTCCAAGGATGTCAAGGACAAGATTGTAGACCTACACAAGGCTGGAATGGGCTACAAGACCATCGCCAAGCAGCTTGGTGAGAAGGTGACAACAGTTGGTGCAATTATTCGCAAATGAAAGAAACACAAAAGACCTGTCAATCTCCCTCTGCCTGGGGCTCCATGCAAGATCTCACCTCATGGAGTTGCAATGATTATGAGAACGGTGAGGAATCAGCCCAGAACTACACGGGAGGATTTTGTCAATGATCTCAAGGCAGCTGGGACCATAGTCACCAAGAAAACAATTGGTAACACACTACGCCGTGAAGGACTGAAATCCTGCAGCGCCCGCAAGGTCCCCCTGCTCAAGAAAGCACATATACAGGGCCGTCTGAAGTTTGCCAACGAACATCTGAATGATTCAGAGGAGAACTGGGTGAAAGTGTTGTGGTCAGATGAGACCAAAATGGAGCTCTTTGGCATCAACTCATTTCGCCGTATTTGGAGGAGGAGGAATGCTGCATATGATCCCAAGAACACCATCCCCACCATCAAACATAGAGGTGGAAACATTATGCTTTGGGGGTGTTTTTCTGCTAAGGGGACAGGACAACTTCACCGCATCAAAGGGACGATGGACGGGGCCATGTACCGTCAAATCTTGGGTGAGAACCGCCTTCCCTCAGCCAGGGCATTGAAAATGGGTCGTGGATGGGTATTCCAGCATGACAATGACCCAAAACACACGGCCCTGGCCAAAGTGTGGATTTGTTGTTATTCTGTCTCTCACTGTTCAAATAAACCTACCATTAAAATTATAGACTGATCATGTCTTTGTCAGTGGGCAAACGTACAAAATCAGCAGGGGATCAAATACTTTTTTCCCTCACTGTAAACAAAAGCAAATTTGCTTTGGTTCTGTTGGCGGCCATCTTTGTTTTTTGGAAGGAAATACTCTGTTTTTAATATGAGATGATTCATGATTTTTTAAATAGGTCAAGCCGAGGACAACATGGTCTTTCCTGTTGTGGGGAGGGTATCTAGCTAGCTACAGTCGTCTGTGCCTTTATCTAGGTCAGGAAACTGGAGCTTGTAAATAATTCAAATGCAGCTGCTGAGAAGTGGGTTCGTAGAGATGTTGAGCTAGTTGTAGGATAGTTCTGATGAGGTTCACATGCAATTTTCAGCATTCAGATCAAATTATCAGATTTTGCACATGGTATTGGATCTTGTGTGCCATAGTAAGAAATAGTCGTCAGTAGAGGGGTGTTGCTATTAGAGAGAGCACCGCTCCCAGTTTAGTTGTAAAGTTACTTAGGAAATACACAGAGCAAGTGGCTTTTGGTCAGACTCAGATTAAACCTAGGGCAGCCTACTCTTAGACTAAAAACCATGTTCAATTAATAGTCTCCATTGAAAGTGCTAGCATGTTCAAAGAAAAGTCTCCACTAAAAGTGCTTTCAAGTCCAGAGTAGTAGGTATAATCTTGGTATGTGCAGATGCCCCTTTAAATGTACCAGAAGAAACAACATCTCACATTAACCAGGGAAGTCCTGAGGGATCCTGTAACTGTACATCATTGGTTATGAAAGAATACCACTGACTGTTTGTGTGTACCTGTCCCCAGGATGACGGTAAGGGGGAGGACAACATGGCTCAGAAAAGGGCTGCTCTCGTGGAGAAGAGGCTGAGGAGGGAGAAGGAGACGCAGCAGAAGAAGCTGCAGCAGGAGGCAGAGCTAGAGCAGAAGAAGGAGGAGGCACGGTATGTATTCATACTCACACCCACGTACAGACACTCCCACTTGAGCTATTTTAAAAGCCCCTCACATAGTATCGTGTTGTTTTACGTTAGTCAATCAAATTGTATTTGTCAAAGTATATCAAATGCTAATGCAATTAGCAAAAGTACATTACTACTGATTGTCTGGTAATGTGCATCAATCAGTATTCACATACTTTGATCAATTGCATACCATCTGATTGCTCCCGGTCATAGTTTGAGATGTTCTTGATTCTTGGTCATCATCTACTATGTCTCCTTTGCCCTCTCCACTTCCTCTCAGAGTAAAAGCAGAGGAGGAGCGCGTGAGGAAGGAGGAGGAGAAGGCCCGCCGGGAGTTCATCAAGCAGGAGTACATGAGGAGGAAGCAGCTCAAGCTCATGGAGGACATGGACACAGTGATCAAACCGCGACTGGCCTGCGCCAAACAGAGGAGAGCCCGGCCCAAGTCCATCCACCGGGACAGCATGGACTCCCCCAGAACCCTGGCCAGGGCGGCAGGTAACCATGGAAACCTCTCTCAGGGATCACTGTTGGTGTCGTGTTGGTGTGGTGTGTCTGCCCATGTGCCGCCCATGTGCCGCCGTCTGGCGCCACAGCTAGCTTTGTGCCACTTGCGATAAAACACTGTTTCTCTGCAGCTCAGCGTGGGTTCTTATGGTAGACTACAGAGTGTACTAGTTCTGGTTGAGATCTGCATGCCAACTAGTACTATTAAGAAATTGCTTCATTATGAAAGCAACTTATTTTCAATTCAGTAGCTAACCCTGCCTGATTTCTTAACTGCTTTGCCAAACCAATTCAACCAATTTGATCTTGTAATGCAATGTGTAGCTTGAATCGATCTCTGATAGCTTGGCAAGGACATCTCATTATGCTATGTGGGACTTTGGAAGGTTTCCATGACAACCATCATCAGTCTTTGACTATGAAAAGGAACTCAAAATCAAAATACAGAGGTGTGTGTGTTTGCACACATCAAATGATGCTGCAGATAGCTGTGACAAGGTGGGCACAAAGTACTGTGGACGGACTCGTGTTGTTGTTGTGGTCGTGGTGTAACGGTGTTGTCCCATCTTGTGCAAAACTTGTGTTTCACATCCAGGTTCACGACCTCGTGTTTTTTCAGTCTCCAGCTTGTCTCTGGCCTCGCTCAACCTGGGAGACAGTGACAGTGTGCACTCTGAGAAGAGAACACCAAGGTAAGATTCCTTTCTATTAACAGTATATGAAACACACTTCTGCATACGCCTACATGAATTTCATCTTAACATTTATTCTACTTTAAGGGGTGAATCGTAACTTCGACTTAAGTTTCATTTTCACTTAGTCATGCATTGATGTCAATGGGTGACCATTTTACTTAAGTTAAAAAAAAATCCCAAAATGTTTATTTATAATCTGTTTCATTGAACTTGAGTATCACTTCTGACCTGATTTTTAACCCTCTCTCTAGCCAATGGCTTTTAACCTAACATTTTCTGTATTCTCTACACAATTTTTTCCTACCTACTATCTCACTCTCTCCTAATGTTTTGGAACTGTCAGAAGTGCTAGCTTACACTCTGGCAGTCTGTGCTTCTTTCTGAGCTCTCCTAAACTGAGAAGGAGAAGGTTAGTTCCTGTGTAGTAGTTTAACCCTGAATCCACCTCACTGTCCCAGCTTCTGTAGCATAAGAACGAGAGTTCTTATGGGAAGTCTTAAGACACTGGGGCAACACCAAGTCCAGGGTCCTGTTCATTAGGACACGCAAAGGAAAACCTTTTGCAACAGAAAACAAAAAAAGGTGTTTCTTATTGGACAAGTCCAGGTAGTCCCCTCCCTGTTTTAGTCCGTTTTCGTTCCATTTGGTGTCTAATGAACACGACCCATGTGATGCTTCATGGTCCCACCACCCCCCTTCAATGTGACAGAGATCTCACCATCAACCCCTGCGTAAATGCATTTTCCCCAATGCACTACACAGAACAATTGTTCTGTTTTCCCTATGTCACATTGTCACTGCCTATATTCCTGCTGCTTCGTAACCTCTTCCCTATGTTAAGTGTATCTAGATAAGATGCTTCGAGATATAGGTGCTTGTAGTATCTATCCCTCAAGAACACTTGATTGCGTCACATTGCTTCACTGCTACCCATGCTTGTATGAGAGTAAAGATATACCCTTTTCACGCTATCGTTCCGACCCAAACCAAATTGTGCTGGCTCAGATATTTCGTTTACACATTTTCCCTTTCAGTATGGTTCCAGCAACTATGGTGGATGCGTAATCAGGCCAGCTCAGTATAGCTTGGTTTGGTTCAGTTGTTTGAAAAGCCCTTTAGAGAGCTTGAACTTAAGGTTTTGATAAGCAAAGAACCGTAGTATCCAAAGCCAATCCCTGTTAGCGATGTTCAAATTTACTTGGGTACACACTGTTTGTACTGTGCACACAAATAGCTTGTACAGTTTTCCCATGGAAAGCGGGAAGTCCTTGCACATCATTCTATATGTGGTAACAAAACTGTAGTACCCATGGAAAGAGGTGACCTAAGTGCCTGTGTCTCTCTCTCTCTGTGTGTGTGTGTGTGTGTGTGTGTGTGTGTGTGTGTGTGTGTGTGTGTGTGTGTGTGTGTGTGTGTGTGTGTGTGTGTCAGGCCTGATTCTGCAGATGGTTTTCTGTCCCCTTGTCGATCTGGGAGCCGGAATGGGGAGGACGATTGGGAGAACGGTTCCACCACCTCGTCTGTTAAATCCAACACAGAGTACACAGGTGGGTGATCAACTCATTACACACACCAGTGACACATTATTGTATTATTTTTATTAGCTGTATTATAATTCTTTGTGATTGGCTTTGCTAACTGAGTGTACTTCATGCTTTTAAGATATCTGATTTGGGTCCAATTCATCAATCTAAGCTGCTATTATATGGGATAGGATATAGGATTAACTTTAATGTCCCTGAGGGGGTAATTGTCTTAGAGACACAGTACTGCTGTATACAAAATAGACACTGTACATTCCACACTCACCATAATACATAAATTGCACGATACCCAATGGGGGGTTTAAATGGGTTTCCATCTCATTTTCAACTCTTCTGATTGTTTTGTCACCAAAACAATTGTGTTATATAGCAAATGTGCCCACTCTGTTATTGCCTTAGCCAACAGCTCGCAGTTACAGTGCAGGTATAGCCTACATGATGAGATTATTATGGACAAAAGAGCGAGATTATTTTTATTTGTCAAACGGCAGCCAAGCATCGATCATCATGTCACCAGAATCAAGCTCATCACCTTTCACCTTCATCACCCTATGAAATTCATCATAATTTCTCAAGCCGTAGTGGGAGGACACACAACATGTCATCGCATTACTCCAAGATTATTTCGTTATTATATCAATATTTGCACATACAGTTGAAGTCGGAAGTTTACATACACTTAGGTTGGATTCATTAAAACTCGTTTTTCAACCACTCCACAAATTTCTTGTTAACAAACTATCGTTTTGGCAAGTCGGTTAGGACATCTACTTTGTGCATGACACAAGTAATTTTTCCAACAATTGTTTACAGACAGATTATTTCACTTATAATTCACTGTATCACAATTCCAGTGGGTCAGAACTTTACATACCCTAAGTTGACTGTGCCTTTAAACAGCTTGGAAAATTCCAGAAAATGATGTCATGGCTTTAGAAGCTTCTGATAGGCTAATTGACATCCTTTGAGTCAATTGGAGGTGTTCCTGTGGATGTATTTCCAGGCCTACCTTCAAACTCAGTGACTCTTTGCTCGACATCATGGGAAAATCAAAAGAAATCAGCCAAGACTTCAGAAAAAAAATTGTAGACCTCCACAAGTCTGGTTCATCCTTGGGAGCAATTTCCAAACGCCTGAAGGTACCACGTTCATCTGTACAAACAATAGCACGCAGGTATAAACACCATGGGACTACGCAGCCGTCATACCACTCAGGAAGGAGACGTGTTCTGTCTCCTAGAGATGAACGTACTTTGGTGCGAAAAGTGCAAATCAATCCCAGAACAACAGCAAAGTACCTTGTGAAGATGCTGGAGGAAACAGGTACAAAAGTATCTATATCCACAGTAAAACGAGTCCTATATCGACATAACCTGAAAGGCCGCTCAGCAAGGAAGAAGCCACTGCTCCAAAACCGCCATAAAATAGCCAGACTACGGTTTGGGGACAAAGATCGTACTTTTTGGAGAAATGTCCTCTGGTCTGATGAAACAAAAATAGAACTGTTTGGCCATAATGACCATCATTATGTTTGGAGGAAAAAGGGGGTTGCTTGCAAGCCGAAGAACACCATCCCAACCGTGAAGCATGGGGGTGGCAGCATCATGCTGTGGGGGTGCTTTGCTGCAGGAGGGACTGGTGCATTTCACAAAATAGATGGCATCATGAGGAAGGAAAATTATGTGGATATATTGAAGCAACATCAGTCAGGAAGTTAAAGCTTGGTCGCAAATGGGTCTTCCAAATGGACAATGACCCCCAGCATACTTCCAAAGTTGTGGCACAATGGCTTAAGGACAACAAAGTCAAGGTATTGGAGTGGCCATCACAAAGCCCTGACCTCAAGCCTATAGAAAAGTTGTGGGCAGAACTGAAAAGGCGTGTGCGAGCAAGGAGGCCTATAAACCTGACTCAATTACACCAGCTCTGTCAGGAGGAATGGGCCAAAATTCACCCAACTTATTGTGGGAAGCTTGTGGAAGGCTACCTGAAACGTTTGACCCAAGTTAAACAATTTAAAGGCAATGCTACCAAATACTAATTGAGTGTATGTAAACTTCTGACCCACTGGGAATGTGATGAAAGATATAAAAGCTGAAATAAAGAATTCTCTCTACAATTATTCTGACATTTCACATTCTTAAAATAGTGGTGATCCTAACTGACCTAAGACAGGGATTTTTTTACTAGGATTAAATGTCAGGAATTGTGAAAAACTGAGTTTAAATGCATTTGGCTAAGGTGTATGTAAACTTCTGACTTCAATTGTAAAAGCGTTTCCACCGCCATTTCTTGCATAATTAATTTTACCAACACAAAAAAATCCCACCTTGTCTAGCATATTTTGTTTTGTCGACATTTGGAAAGTTTACCGATAAATTCTATCAGGCCTGTCGTGAAATGTTTATCAGACTTCACTCGCATAAAAAGGTTGGATGGAAAAGAGGTAGCCTAGCGGTTACAGCGTTGAGCCAGTAACCAAAACGTTGCTGGTTCGATTCCCCGAACCGACAAGGTGAATAATCTATCGATGTGCCCTTGAGCAAGGCACTTAACCCTAATTCCCCCTGTAAGTCGCTCTGGGTAAGAGTGTCTACTAAACTTAACCAAATTTCAACATAGAAAAATCTTGTATTAAATATGTTGAATTTGTACCTTTTAAAACAATGTCATATCTTTAACGTTATATCCACTATCAGAAAAAAAAACAATAGGCTGGGCATCACCTCCTACTGGAGAATTGATCTATCTACAGCTACCCTTTGGTCTCCCATCCAGGGTTTTAACCAAGCTTACTTTGCTATGAAATTTGTCACTGACTATTACCAATGTGCTATGGTAAGAATGATTGTTGAGAGATCTCCACTTATAAACTAAATAGATTCACTGTTGCTATCAAAGTCATTCCAAAGTGTAGGTTTTACAGAGCAAATTAAATGTGACCATACTTTATCACTCATATATCATCAATGATGCTATTTAGGCCTATATAGCATTTACAACGTCATCAACAACTATTGTTTAATTAAACCTAGGATTAAACTAAAAATAGACAATACATAGGCCTAGGGTTTCAAGCTGTGGTTGATTTCAAGTTTAAAGATATTTAGTGACATTGAAATGTGTTTGGTCAAATAGTAACATTTGAAGGAGATGTATTTTCTGCTTGGATAGTTCCATCTGTGCCACAAACTTACTCTGGCTTTAATTCCAGTTTGTCTACATTTAGTCCTATTCTTTGTTGATATTTGGTTGCGTTCAGAGGCATCATGTACATAGGGGGCACAAGGGCACGTTCCCCCCTCAGATTTGTCATTTTGTTTTGGCATAATGATTATGGCTCTAGATTGCGGGAAAAAGCTGTTTCAGTTGTTTGAAAAATGCTATATTCTCCAACATCAGCCCCCCTCCGGACCCCCCCCCCATCCACATGTACTTCATGTTCCCTATAATTGGTGCATGACGCTCCTGGTTGCATTGACAACCAAACACAATTCAATATCTCTTTTGAAATACAATAAATGGTAAAAGGTAGGCATCAAAATTATTGACACCCCTAAAGATTCTTATAAATAAAGTAGTCAAAAGTTTAGTATTTGGTCCCATATTCCTATCACGCAATGACTACATCAAGCTTTTGACTCTCCAAACTTGTTGGATGCATTTGCAGTTAGTTTTGGTTGTGTTTCAGATTATTTTGTGCCCAATAGAAATGTATGGTAAATCATGTATTGTGTCATTTTGGAGTCACATATTGTAAATAAGATTAGAATATGTTTCTAAACACTTCTACATTAATGTGGATGCTACCATGATTACGGATAATCCTGAATGAATTGTGAATAATGTCAAAGATCATACCCCTAAGACCTCCCCTGTTATTTGTAATGGTGAGAGGTTCGCATTTCTTGGACATATGATATTTGACCCTCTTTGATTATCAGAACGTGACATTGGACTTCTGTTAAGGACGCTTTCATGAACAAGTGTTCAATCATGGCCAGCTGGTCAGGTTAGCATAGGGCTAAATGTGCCAGGTTATCCAATGGGAACAGCTAACATGTAGCGTTTTATCACATGCAACTACGTCGGCGATTTTAATCAGCAGATGCGCATTTTAAACTGAAACCTTTTCTGATGTTCGCAAGTATGGACCCCCTGAAATTGCCCTACCATTACCTGGTTGCTAAAATTCTATAATGTTCGCCTAATTTCAGTTTATGTGAGGAAAAACAAGCAATGTATAGTGCAGAGAATCATTGTATCATCTAAACCGATGTGAAATATATTTTCAATAAGCAAAAATATTGTATTGTCAGCTGTTTGAAACTGGTGTGCAGAAATTGCTCTTCCATTTCCTGGTTGATAAAATTCTAATAGTTAGTCTAATTTCAGTTTATGTGACAAAACAAGCAAGTATAGTGTAGACCAAAACCAAAAATATTGTATTTTCAGCTGTTTGAAGCTGGTGTACAAAACTGAAAGTAAAAGATGCAAAAACTCAACTTACAGTGGGGAAAAAAGTATTTAGTCAGCCACCAATTGTGCAAGTTCTCCCACTTAAAAAGATGAGAGAGGCCTGTAATTTTCATCATAGGTACACGTCAACTATGACAGACAAAATGAGATTATTTTTTCCAGAAAATCACATTGTAGGATTTTTTATGAATTTATTTGCAAATTACAGTGAGGGAAACAAGTATTTTATCCCCTGCTGATTTTGTACGTTTGCCCACTGACAAAGAAATGATCAGTCTATAATTTTAATGGTAGGTTTATTTGAACAGTGAGAGACAGAATAACAACAAAAAAATCCAGAAAAACGCATGTAAAAGTTTTTATTAATTGATTTACATTTTAATGAGGGAAATAAATATTTGACCCCCTCTCAATCAGAAAGATTTTCTGGCTCCCAGGTGTCTTTTATACAGGTAATGAGCTGAGATTAGGAGCACACTCTTAAAGGGAGTGCTCCTAATCTCAGTTTGTTATCTGTACAAAAGACATCTGTCCACAGAAGCAATCAATCAATCAGATTCCAAACTCTCCACCATGGCCAAGACCAAAGAGCTCTCCAAGGATGTCAGGGACAAGATTGTAGACCTACACAAGGCTGGAATGGGCTACAAGACCATCGCCAAGCAGCTTGGTGAGAAGGTGATAACAGTTGGTGTGATTATTCGCAAATGGAAGAAACACAAAATAACTGTCAATCTCCCTCGGCCTGGGGCTCCATGCAAGATCTCACCTAGTGGAGTTGCAATGATCATGAGAACGGTGAGGAATCAGCCCAGAACTACACGGGAGGATCTTGTCAATGATCTCAAGGCAGCTGGGACCATAGTCACCAAGAAAACAATTGGTAACACACTACGCCGTGAAGGACTGAAATCCTGTAGCACCCGCAAGGTCCCCCTGCTCAAGAAAGCACATATACAGGCCTGTCTGAAGTTTGCCAATGAACATCTGAATGATTTAGAGGAGAACTGGGTGAAAGTGTTGTGGTCAGATGAGACCAAAATGGAGCTCTTTGGCATCAACTCAACTTGCACTGTTTGGAGGAGGAGGAATGCTGCCTATGACCCCAAGAACACCATCCCCACCGTCAAACATGGAGGTGGAAACATTATGTTTGGAGGTGTTTTTCTGCTAAGGGGACAGGACAACTTCACCGCATCAAAGGGACGATGGACGGGGCCATGTACCGTCAAATCTTGGGTGAGAACCTCCTTCCCTCAGCCAGGTTTTTGAAAATGGGTCGTGGATGGGTATTCCAGCATGACAATGACCCAAAACACACGGCCAAGGCAACAAAGGAGTGGCTCAAGAAGAAGCACATTAAGGTCCTGGAGTGGCCTAGCCAGTCTCCAGACCTTAATCCCATAGACAAGTGGAGGGAGCTGAAGGTTCGAGTTGCCAAATGTCAGGCTCGAAACCTTAATGATTTGGAGAAGATCTGCAAAGAGGAGTGGGACAAAATCCCTCCTGAGATGTGTGCAAACCTGGTGGCCACTTACAAGAAATGTCTGACCTCTGTGATTGCCAACAAGGGTTTTGCCACCAAGTACTAAGTCATGTTTTGCAGAGGGGTCAAATACTTATTTCCCTCATTAAAATGCAAATCAATTTATAACATTTTTTACATGTGTTTTTCTGGATTTTTTTGTTGTTATTCTGTCTCTCACTTTTCAAATAAACCTACCATTAAAATTATAGACTGATCATGTCTTTGTCAGTGGGCAAACGTACAAAATCAGCAGGGGATCAAATACTTTTTTCCCCTCACTGTATGGTGGAAAATAATTATTTGGTCAATAACAAAAGTTTCTCAATACTTTGTTATATACCCTTTGTTGGCAATGACACAGGTCAAACGTTTTCTGTAAATCTTCACAAGGTTTTCACACACTGTTGCTGGTATTTTGGCCCATTCCTCCATGCAGATCTCCTCTAGAGCAGTGATGTTTTGGGGCTGTCGCTGGGCAACACGGACTTTCAACTCCCTCCAAAGATTTTCAATGGGGTTGAGATCTGGAGACTGGCTAGGCCACTCCAGGACCTTGAAATGGTTCTTACGAAGCCACTCCTTCGTTGCCCGGGCGGTGTGTTTGGGATCATTGTCATGCTGAAAGACCCAGCCACGTTTCATCTTCAATGCCCTTGCTGATGGAAGGAGGTTTTCACTCAAAATCTCACGATACATGGCCCCATTCATTCTTTCCTTTACACGGATCAGTCGTCCTGGTCCCTTTGCAGAAAAACAGCCCCAAACCATGCTTCACAGTAGGTATGGTGTTCTTTGGATGCAACTCAGCATTCTTTGTCCTCCAAACACGACGAGTTGAGTTTTTACCAAAAAGTTCTATTTTGGTTTCATCTGACCATATTACATTCTCCCAATCCTCTTCTGGATCATCCAAATGCACTCTAGCAAACTTCAGACGGGCCTGGACATGTACTGGCTTAAGCAGGGGGACACGTCTGGCACTGCAGGATTTGAGTCCCTGGCGGCGTAGTGTGTTACTGATGGTAGGCTTTGTTACTTTGGTCCCAGCTCTCTGCAGGTCATTCACTAGGTCCCCCCGTGTGGTTCTGGGATTTTTGCGTGGAGCCCCAGATCGAGGGAGATTATCAGTGGTCTTGTATGTCTTCCATTTCCTAATAATTGCTCCCACAGTTGATTTCTTCAAACCAAGCTGCTTACCTATTGCAGATTCAGTCTTCCCAGCCTGGTGCAGGTCTACAATTTTGTTTCTGGTGTCCTTTGACAGCTCTTTGGTCTTGGCCATAGTGGAGTTTGGAGTGTGACTGTTTGAGGTTGTGAACAGGTGTCTTTTATACTGATAACAAGTTCAAACAGGTGCCATTAATACAGGTAACGAGTGGAGGACAGAGGAGCCTCTTAAAGAAGAAGTTACAGGTCTGTGAGAGCCAGACATCTTGCTTGTTTGTAGGTGACCAAATACTTATTTTCCACCATAATTTGCAAATAAATTCATTAAAAATCCTACAATGTGATTTTCTGGATTTTTTTCTTCTCTATTTGTCTTTCATAGTTGACGTGTACCTATGATGAAAATTACAGGCCTCTCTCATATTTTTAAGTGGGAGAACTTGCACAATTGGTGGCTGACTAAATTATTTTTTTCCCCACTGTGAGAACAGAAAGCATAGAACTAGCACACATTGCACAGATCTACCGCTTCCTAGACTTGCTTTCAATGACAATTACAGATCTATAACTCACATTTCTATGTGAATTTGGTCTGGTCGCCCAAAAAGTTACATATTGCAGCTTTAAGGCAGGGGAGAGTTGTTTCAGTTCAGGCTGTGTTGTTGCAATTCGCCTAGTTTCCACAAGGGGGTTGCATTTTACCAAGAGACCCTTTAAAGTTGGAAGTACCACTCTTAACAGGTTCAGTTTTTGTCACTCTGCACATTGGTTGGGTAACATGTTGAATCTAATGCCATGATTGCTCAGCATTAATGATTATGTTTTTGACTTGAGACAATCAAAACAGAGGAGCGAAATGAACTCTTAGCGAAATTTCAGTCAGAAATTATCAGATGATGATTGCGTAGTGGGCCCTTAGTCTAAAGATTCCATGATGAGTAATGTTAAGATAATACCTATAAATGATTTACTCACAGACTGCTGGGACAAGTCAGAGGCCCCAGATAGAATGGTTGCTATGACGACTGATCATCTTCCCTATGTTTGCACAGGGCCCAAATTGTACAAGGAGCCGAGTGCCAAATCGAATAAGCATATCATCCAGAACGCACTGGCCCACTGCTGCCTGGCAGGCAAGGTCAACGAAGGCCAGAAGAGCAAGATTCTAGAGGTAATGTGTTCTCTACAATCTGGTCATTCTATTTCTACGGTGTTGGTAGTACTTCAATACAATGAAATAACATCTCAGATGAATGTTTTCTTAACATTATATTAATTTGATTATGGTGATGTTTACTAGGAATATGTTCATAGGGGATCTATTTTTTATGCAGCAACTGCTGGTCACCAAGCTATTATCATTAAATTGTTTACATTTTAGTCATTTAGCAGACGCTCTGAACAAGAGCGACTTACAGGAGCAATTAGGGTTTAGTGCCTTGCTCAAGGGCACATCGACAGATTTTTCACCTAGTGGGCTCGGGGATTCGAACCAGTGACCTTTCGTTTACTAGTCCAACCCTCTTAACCGCTAGACACGTCTGTTGTCTTCTATTATGCTGTATGAGGACAATGATAATTTATTTGCTCCCTTTTTGCAGGAAATGGAGAAATCCGAGGCCAACAACTTCCTGGTGTTGTTCCGGGACGGGGGTTGCCAATTCCGCTCTCTGTACACGTACTGCCCCGAGACGGACGAGGCCACCAAGCTGACCGGCATCGGGCCCAATCGCATCATGCGCAAGATGATCGAGGGCCTCTACAAGTACAACTCAGACAGGAAGCAGTTCAGCCAGATCCCCGCCAAGACCATGTCGGCGAGCGTGGACGCCATCACGATCTACGGCCACCTGTGGCAAACCAAGAAACCAGCCACCCCGAAGAAAGTGGTACCTGCCAAGTCCTAATGGAACTTACCGTACACTCCCAGCCACCCCCGCCATTTCCCTTCAAATGGAACAGTCCACATTCAATGTGCACTTCACTTTACATATCCATGAGGATTCAGCACCTGCAATGCCAGTTAGATTAATGCATACTTCTGTTTTGTTGTTTTGTTATCTCTTTTCATTCCTGTTAATTTTCCTTTAAAATTCCAAACTGGACATGGGGACTCAGTTAAAGATATGCACAACTGGAATGTAAAACACTATTTAATTAAGAGTTGTAAATAGATATCACTGATGTGTTTAGTACAAGAGATTGTCTTATTTTAGTCATTTTATTACAGCAAGTGTGTGTATGTGGTTTTGTATATGCCAAAAGAGGGACAAAAAAGAAAAGGTATGAATGCCATATGTTTTATTTGGCACACTGAAGCACTGAATGTTACTCATCTGTATAGACGGAATTTTGCTTATAAGTTAACATGTGTGGCCTTACGCTTGTTTTGTTTTTGTATGTCAGTGCAATGAGCTGATTGTAAAGCTATACTTTAGAGAGACTTTTGTATGCTGAGGTGAGAACGCTTTTTCCATGTTTTCGGTTCAAATGCAACCTAATAAGTCTGCGTAAGCTATACACAACATTGAGGGCCAAAAAAGAAGAGCAAACTACCAACAAGCATACAGCTAGTGTTGTCCACGTCTGTCTGTAATGATTTGGGCCATTTGAAAATGCTAAGTATCATAATTATGGATATAAACCCATGATATAGAAAAATAAATTGTTATTAAGGATTGTGATTTAGATTTTGGACTATGAAAATGGACTACAACCCTAGTTAGGTACCATTATTATTTATTATAACATAAACAGTAATTATTGTTGATTCTGTTTTAGTTAAGTTGATCTAAAATGTTTTCAGAATTACATAATGTCAAATTCCTTGTCAAAAGTTTTTTATAGGATACTGCTTGACAGTGAGACTTGACACAGCTTTGTATTATTTTGCATACTTATCAGGTATAGAAAAATACAGATATTTATTTAATTTGCATTTAAGTATTTAAAGACAATTATGTATCACATTTTGTGGTAGGTGCCACACTCATTTGGTAAGATAAAGTACTTTGGTATGAGTAAATTTTTAGAGACCCCACATCTACTGCACACATGGAAACCAGACTGATGATCTGTAAGGCAAAGATTCAGGGTTTTTTCCTGTAATAGCTTACTGAAGGCAGAATGTGGCAAAGTTTGTCACTCCATACGGGTAGAGGCTTCTTACTGTCTCCCACCAGCGTCAACACTTTCCTCCTCGAGCAACAACTTGTGTAGGTTGGGGTTAAGGGATGAAGATAACACAAACATACAGTACTCCACACACACCCTATATGGTTCAAACATACAAACATTGGTGTTTGGTTTTCATTGGGGTATATTTCTAGAATTACCAAAAGAGAAGTTCTATGTGTCTCTGGAAATGTAAACATTAATATGACGAAGTTCCAGGAATTTTGTAGAAAATGATATTGCTATGGGACTGCTGTTACAGTTGTCTTATTTGGCTGTTTAAGGCCAAGATTAATGGCTATTTATTTATAAATGAGTGGACATTGTACAGTGTTGCCGTAAGTTCATCTGTCCATCCTCCTGATGAAGCATTGCTTCCATTTTGTTTATTAGACTGTGTGCTGTCATTCAACATATTGCTGAACATTGTAGGTTTGTTTGTTTCTCTTTAGCATTGAATAAAATGAAGCATGGCCTCAAGTGTGTTGTGTGTCTCAATTGTCATATCAATTGTTTCACTAGATAATCAGTCGACAGAAACCAAGGTCAGTGATTATCTTCTGCTGCCTCAGTATTGATACTCCTGAGGATTGCTTTAGTTATATGATTATGGTTTGTGATAAAAGGTCAGAAACAATTATATTTTGCTTGCTATGGCGATATACTCCAATAACTAAAATCAACCCTTATTTTACCCTTAGGGCCTTTAAAAATGGTCTGTGCACTGTCTATGCCTTTGGGGCCGATTCCAACTTAGGAAATTAGGCCTTTCTTACGCACACCTATCCTACGCACTTCTCAGTAGTTGGTATTCAGACTTACCTTATGAAGGTGCGTTATGGGCTTTGCAGGCATGGTTCCCTTGCGCACGCTGAATAAATGTAATTCAACAGCCTAAAGCTCTCCCACTTGCTGGCCAACTGATTTTCTCGTGGAGTTTTCATTCAATAGGGTTTTCAGTACATTTATCTTAAACCATCCCTTTAAATACAATGTACCTTTAATTAAAAAAATTGTCGACAGACTAGAACACATCGAGAGAACGGCTTCAGAAAATTAGGATCAAGGAAAGAATGCCATCTCTGCATCTTCATCTCCATTTCAGCACCAACTGGAGATTTAAAAATACTCTGATCTTCTAGATTATTTAGGCACATTTTAGGGTTAGTAAAGTATGTATGAATCATAAAAAAATTGATATATTTAGAGAGCCTTTATGCACTAAATATATTGATGAATGAAATAATACAGTGGTTTGATTCTACCTGAAAGTTGTCATATTCAAGTTCAATCCATTAAATATTGGAAGGTGAGAAAAGTTTACAATAGTGGTTGAACAATAGCCCTATAAATCTACCCTAATTCTCAATAATCATGGACTGTACAGTGAGGGAAAAAGTATTTGATCCCCTGCTGATTTTGTACGTTTGCCCACTGACAAAGAAATGATCAGTCTATAATTTTAATGGTAGGTTTATTTGAACAGTGAGAGACAGAATAACAACAACAAAATCCAGAAAAAAGCATTTCAAAAATCTTACAAATTGATTTGCATTTTAATGAGGGAAATAAGTATTTGACCCCTCTGCAAAACATGACTAAGTACTTGGTGGCAAAACCCTTGTTGGCAATCACAGAGGTCAGACTTTCTTGTAGTTGGCCACCAGGTTTGCACACATCTCAGGAGGGATTTTGTCCCACTCCTCTTTGCAGATCTTCTCCAAGTCATTAAGGTTTCGAGGCTGACTCGAACCTTCAGCTCCCTCCACAGATTGTCTATGGGATTAAGGTCTGGAGACTGGCTAGGCCACTCCAGAACCTTAATGTGCTTCTTCTTGAGCCACTCCTTTGTTGCCTTGGCCGTGTGTTTTGGGTCATTGTCATGCTGGAATACCCATCCACGACCCATTTTCAATGCCCTGGCTGAGGGAAGGAGGTTCTCACTCAAGATTTGACGGTACATGGCCCCGTCCATTGTCCCTTTGATGCGGTGAAGTTGTCCTGTCCCCTTAGCAGAAAAACACCCCCAAAGCATAATGTTTCCACCTCCATGTTTAATGGTGGGGATGGTGTTCTTGGGGTCATAGGCAGCATTCCTCCTCCTCCAAACACGGCGAGTTGAGTTGATGCCAAAGAGCTCGATTTTGGTCTCATCTGACCACAACACTTTCACCCAGTTCTCCTCTGAATCATTCAAATGTTCATTGGCAAACTTCAGACGGGCATGTATATGTGCTTTCTTGAGCAGGGGGACCTTGCGGGCACTGCAGGATTTCAGTCCTTCACGGCATAGTGTGTTACCAATTGTTTTCTTGGTGACTATGGTCCCAGCTGCCTTGAGATCATTGACAAGATCCTCCCGTGTAGTTCTGGGCTGATTCCTCACCGTTCTCATGATCATTGCAACTCCATGAGGTGAGATCTTGCATGGAGCCCCAGGCCGAGGGAGATTGACAGTTATTTTGTGTTTCTTCCATTCGCGAATAATTGCACCAACTGTTGTCACCTTCTCACCAAGTTGCTTGGCGATGGTCTTGTAGCCCATTCCAGCCTTGTGTAGGTCTACAATCATGTCCCTGACATCCTTGGAGAGCTCTTTGGTCTTGGCCATGGTGGAGAGTTTGGAATCTGATTGATTGATTGCTTCTGTGGACAGGTGTCTTTTATACAGGTAACAAGCTGAGATTAGGAGCACTCCCTTTAAGAGTGTGCTCCTAATCTCAGCTCGTTACCTGTATAAAAGACACCTGGGAGCCAGAAATCTTTCTGATTGAGAGGGGGTCAAATACTTATTTCCCTCATTAAAATGCAAATCAATTTATAACATTTTTGACATGCGTTTTTCTGGATTTTTGTTGTTGTTATTCTGTCTCTCACTGTTCAAATAAACTATGGTATATGAAGAAGTATGACTTTGCTAATGTTTAAAGTAGAGGGAGCCATTTTGTAGTGACACCCCTGTTCGTTGGAGACAGGTGATTGGACAGTAGAGGGAGCCACCCATATTTTTGTATATCTTATAAGTATAGGCTAGAGACAAAGGACGTTAGAACAGACATATTATTTTGGGACACTGTTCTCCAGACACTGCAGGCGTCTGTAAACTTATGCTGAAATCTTGTGATATAAATAAAACTTATAATCAAAGTACAGTATAAGCGGACTCTTTGTTTCACAGCAATAATTAGCAGCATTGACTCGACACTACAATTGGCGACGAGGATGGGATTAATGGTACGACGGCAATAACAAATGTAGGAAGTATGACACAGACACCAACAACAACTTTTCTGAAATTAAAGGATGTAGCAAGAGTGACTCAGGAGTTTATGATACGGATGGAGAGTGCTGTCAATGGTAGTAAGGAAAGGGTTAAAATAGGAGAGCAGATGGTGGTAGAGAAGAATATAGATTCATCTGAAATAGTGCAAGATACTATCATGGAGGTACAGGATGAGTTCTTTGATTTCAACGGAACATCGGAAGATACATCTGATCAATACCGCTCGTTAGGGAAAAGAGAAACTAAATGGAAGGCATATGGATTTGATTCTTCTGTTTTGAAGATTAAAAATGAATGGGCAGGTAGGAATCTTTGGTTCCAACAGTTAACTCATTCTGTAAGATCAGTGAGGAATCTTGATGGTCCATGTCTGTTGAGAATTCCAGCACCAGGCACGTGGGGTTCCATTTTAGAGACGGTCGCTCAACCTCTATCAAGTACGTGTCAATC